GGAGGAAAAAGTCTTCTAATAGAGTGAAGATTTATTTCATTTTTTTTTAAAATCTGCTTTTGCAGTCAATTGTGTGTTTTTGTTCTCTCCAGCCCACCAATAGCCGGAGCAGACAAGAGGAGGAGGAAGAGGAGAGAGAGGAGGAAGCAAAACGAGGGGAAAGAAAGGTCTGCAGCAAAGAACAGAGGAGGAAACGGTTGAATGATTTACTTTTGACTCTGCAGCATTCATAAATGAACAGAAAGAGAGGTAAGTGGAGCATCAGCTGGTGTACAGTGCTGGCAAAAGTACTCACACCCGTTTACTTTTTCACAAAGTCGACCACGTAGCGACCACAAATTGCATTAAAATTGATTTGGATTTAATTAAATAGATCTACGCAGAGTATATTGCTTTATAGTGATAGGAAATTTATATTATTCAAATAAAAATCTGAAGTAGAAGTGTGGCGAGTAAGGGGTTTCTGCCCCTTTAGTCTGGTGTCCTTAAATAAAATCAAATTCTAGCAGCTGTCTTCACAATACACCCAGTTACATGTCGTTTTAATCTCATTTCAAAAACCAGCTGTTCTAAATTTCCCAAAGTTGAAACACAGTGGTGGCTGCATCATGACGTGGGGACGTTTTTCTTAGCAGAGAGTTGGGGAAGTTTGCTAGGACTGACGGTAAATTGAAGGGAGCTGGAGAAAGGAGTCCAGAGTTTGGCAGAACAAAGAACGTTCTGCCAGGAGAGGCTTGTGAACATGCAGTCTCATACTCACTCCCTTGGAGTTGCCAACCTGATGGATATAAATAACTTTGCTGTTAGGCCATTTTGTTGGCACCACTTCATGTAACGCAACTTCCCCATCAGCCCGGATTAAAACTCTGGAATTACTGCACATGTCTCCACTCCGCTGCACAACACGCAGGCGAAGTGGAGCCATTCCTGGGATGTTAGTAGACTTCCAAGCCAAGGTTGACAATTTTTCTGTTTGTTAAAAAGCAGACAACTGAGCACAGCGTTTCGCCAGAACATAACATATCACTGGCATGGACGAGGTCATGCTAACAATGTTTATTTTGACAATTTCAAAATAAATGCAACTTAAAAATATGGTACCTCCAGCTGTATCTGCAGTGGAATGTGATTCAACAAAGTATTGCTAAGGAAAGACGTCGAATGCCACACTTTTCAGATTTTTATTTGCAATAATGTTTCAAAACCTTCCCATAAATTCCTGATTAAAATATTGCCGTATGTCACTGAACAGTTTGGTTTGCTCCAGGACCGTGTGCAGCTATTTTTTTTATATTTTATCTTCATGTAGGGTGGAATTACTCCAAAAAGGGACCAGCCCCAGCAGTGAACAGGTGGACTGAAACTGATGTCACTGCACCAACTAAAAAGACAAAAAAGACGAAGACGCGGAGCGTTTGACTGTGAGATGAACGAGACAAACTGACGTGGATGAAGGAAAAAAAAATGAAAAGAAAAGACCAGCTGACATGAATTTGCACTAGTGCTGGATGAACAAGCACACTAAAGACTGTATGTATTCTGAGTGGACACACTTTAAAAAAATACATATATACACTTCGAATGCTCTCACTGCAGCACCTTAAGCAAAAACAAAACTAAAAGGACGTGTGTTGCTCGGGAGGTTGAACGCGGACACGTACAGTGCGGTACTCTGCATTTTCGGCTCACTAGTTTCCAAGAGACAAGGAGCTCGTAAGCCGCCCGGGGAGGAGAAAACGCAAATGTAGCCCGGGCCCCCCTTAAGTAGGTCAAAATTGAACCTTCATTTACTTGTTAAGCTTTCAAAGTCACATTGCACCTTTGGGAAATGGCACAAGGAGAAGCGAGCCAATTAAAAGCTAAAATAAAGACAGTGTTCGTTTTTTTTTTTTTTTTTTGCTTCGCTTTAACAAGACTGTGTCTGCCATGTTCCAGTGAATAGAGAAACGGGAGGGTGAGAAGAGCTTAGCAATAGGAATTTTGGCATTGCTGCAAGAGAATTTCTAATGAGGTTTTGAGAAAGAGCTTATTTTTTAGAAAAAATAAATAATAATAAAAAAAGTGTTGTCTGCTATAGAAATGGACAGAATATATCCATGACAGGAATGTTTATTGTTGAACTATTTTCAGTATTGCTTCCAAGGAAAAGGGGGAGATAGTTTTGTTTACTCCCGACTGCCTTTGAGAGGGTTTCCCTCTTTTCTTCGGAGCACTGACAATCAGAATGTCCTCGGCGATGGAGGCGATGGTGGGGGTGGATGGGCGGGTGGGTGTCAGAGGGGAAAGGGATACAAGTAATTTACCCCAAAACGCTCTGTAGAAGTGCCATGTCGTCTTATGTGTAAAAGCGAGCTCATGTGGTCTTTAAAAAGCAATATCTCCTCTAATAAGGACTGTATAAGTACTCCAGTTATGTTTTTTAATTAATTTGTGAATATTTGAAGACTTTGTTTTTCTGTACAAAAAGCATATTAAATTGTTCTCATCCTAGGATCATTGGATTAACAAGCCTTCAGTTTTATGTGAATGTACAGTACGTAGATCTATTTTCCTTTCGCCGGCAGTAGAGTGTAAATTTAGCGTAACACATAAAAGCTAGCAGTCAAATCCTTCATTTTGCTGAGACATTTTTAACAGTATAAGCAGCTGACCAGTATATCCTTAGAACTGACATGGTTGTATATTATTTTTACTCTCTCTTTTTTTGTAGAGTTACATATTTTTCCTCCTTTTTTAGCTGAGCGTACTTTGGTCAGACAATCTGTGACAGTAAACTACTCTTTTTTTATTTTCCAGTGCTCTCTTTCAGTAGTGTGGCTTCTCATAGCGAGCCAAAAAAAGTGCAATTTCTTTGACTGTTTACATACTGTATGTATATTTTTCTCCCTCTTTACTTTTTTTTTTTACCTAAAGGCACTACATTATTGCCAGTGGGTGATTAACTTTATAGCAAAGGTACACATAAAGAGTTATTTATCTAGTTTGCATGACATGTAACCTTTGCCTGTTGCCTCTGACGGTGTGCATCTGTTAAGCAAAACAAAACAAAACAAAAACAGAAAATAACTCAATGCCATAGAATGTCAGCTCAAACATTTTGCCTCTATATCCATAATAATAAAAGCATTTTATGTCTCCTGGTACTAAACCCTGTGAACTCGTCATGCTTCAGCCTCAAGGCCCTCCTTCCTGCTGTGTTTGTGTTTTAAGTGGAAGTACCGCAGTGATGCTAATCAGTGTGAGTTTACAGTGCTATCTAGTGGTGCAAGACTGTACGTCTCACATTCTGTCGTCCTCTGTAATGACCCACAGTGGACAACAGGGCTGTCAAAGCAGCACAATAACAAGATGATGGGAGGGGGTAGCGCATGGAGATGCTCTTGCGCTCTCCTCTTTCCAGCTTCGCCGGGGCAGAGTTAGGTCATTTAAATCTGAAGAACTCTCCAGACACCAAGAAAAGGGATTACAATAGTCGATAGGATCTTGAATTTTTACTGACTAGAATGTGCATGTTTGCAGGAAACCTGGTGCAATCCTGTTTTAAACAAACTTGTTTATTACATATTAAAATTAAGACATTTTAGTGTTTTATTTTTTATTTTTAAGGATATTAATTTTAACTGAATTTCAATAGACCGGCTGCACAGTGAAGCAGTTGGTGGCACTGTTGCCTAGCAGCCAGAAGGTCAAAACCTGGGCTGAGGTTTTTCTCGCATGTTCTTCCAGTGGATGCCTGAGTTCTCCCCAGACACTCTGGCTTCCTCCTACAATAAAATAAATGACTGTTAAATTCATTGAATACTCTAAAAGACTGCCTTGGTGTCTGAGTGTGTGTGACTGTCTTATGAAGGACTGGTGACCTGATCAGGGTGAATCTCGCTGCTCGCCTGATAGACGCTCACCAAGCCCATTAGTCATTTAGGGCCACAAACGACTAAAATATGCTTAAAGACGCCATATGGAGCCAAAAGGGTTTTCTCAAAGGCCCAAATCATTGAATTTAGATGTTCAAATAATGTTATTGGGTACAGGTGTATGAAATCCAGGACATAGGGATGCAGACTGCTTTCAAAGAAGAAGAAATTCTTCTTTTGTAAAAGAAGACTTTTCTGTCTGGCAGTTTAAAAATGTATTAAAACTAATGTTTGGCATTAAGAGCTTTTGAGTCCAGACTGTCAATACCGTCAGAGTTGTCAACTTCAGGTGAGATATTGACAGATCATAAATCCAACAGTACCACACTTCAAATAAATCGGAGCCGTGCCTCATCTGTGATTGATATATTTTCAGTAATCTTTGCAGTTTTACATCGACACGTTCTGATATTTTTGAACCATTTGTTGCACTGGTTCTCTCACAGACTGAGGAGTGGCACATTCCCTCATATTTTTATTTCAGAAATACTCAGAAATTCCTACGTCTCAGAAAAAATAATATAATGTGGCAGAATGAAATTTAAAATAAGCATTTCTTTTAACAAAAAAAAAATGTTAGAAAATCCTGAGCTATGGCCTCATGATTTTTAGGCTGGTTATTTTAAGGCAGAATTCCCCATAATGGGATTATATTTAGTGTCCCGCTCCAAAGCTGCCACTTCTGGGAACCCAGCTTGAGTCAACTCCACTCAGATCCACCCACAGGGAGATTGTTGCCTTTGCATCTCTGCTGGCCAGACGACAATTTATCCTGGAGTAGAAGCTCCCAAATCCTCCTTCTGTTTCAAGCTGGCTAAGGAAAACTTTTTTTGTTGTTTTTTGTCTGAAGTTGGAAGAAATTAAGTTACACATCGAGGGGTTGCATGATACGTGAGGCAGAGGTCACCTGTTTTATCTGCTTGATGTTCAAAAACGATATGTGGTAAAAAAAAAAAGTTTGTTTAAATACCGTCAGCTTTGATCTTAACCATTTCAATTATCCTTCCAGGATAAAAACCGTTAGTATCAAAGATGGATTTCCACGTGAGGTATTGTGTATGACATGCGAATCAAACAGCTGATCGGTTTGGTTTGAACAGATGATTTTTATTAGATGTATTTACAAACAAGCACATGCAGGAGGTGGACAATTGACGGACACCAGAAGGGCACGCAACTATATGCAACAGTGGGACTCGGAAATGTCTACGAGCTACATTACACCAGAAAGAGAAAAAGAGAAGGAGGCTTTCTGTTACACACACACAGCGAAACAGCAGGATGTGCTGACACATGAAAGTGCTCACATCATCTCTACTTTCACTTCCATATACACACACACACGCACCACCATCATCATGTTCTCACCCTCACGCTTTCAGAACCCAGACAGATAGAGAGCTGTTCCTTTTTATACACCTTGGAATCAATAAATAGTACATCCAATAAATTATCAGCTTTCACATAAAAAAATCTAAATAAACTTTATTCAATCTTTTTATAACTATCCATTTGATGGTGTTTTATTATGATAATTATTTACAGTATGAGCATGTAGTGGCTTCATTTACTGCTACTGGACTTTTGCTGTAGCGCCAGTAATGTCATGCTACATGGCACTGGCCTACATAGAAACTACAAGGATATTTTGAAGAATTGAGCTCTCCCTGATTTGTCAGTGGTAAAGAAACCTTCCTACAGAACCAAATTCAGACATCTTCGAGTCTCTTTTCATCTTGTATCTGTAGAGTTTAAGATATCTTGCAGTGCCTCAGTTGTACACGAAAACTAAAACGATGACTTCGAAACACAACAGCTCAACGTGGAAGCATATGCATAGTCGTCGATACATCTAGAATCCAGAGATAAACGGGTAAATATATAAATATGATGCAAAGCAACGGGTTTCATGAGTGGCGTCAGTACAAACGAACCACTTCCACCATCACCACTATCATTAATATCAATGATTATGATCAGGAGACCTGGCAGGAAGATAAATACAAAAGCTGAGGACCAGCCACCAAACCTATAAGCCTCACTGCAGCATTTTACATCACTTCAAGGATCCCCCCCCCACTCGCTGCATTCATATTTTTATTTCAGATAGTGTTACACAAGAGCTGAAAATGTTTTTGTGAGGTTATTTCGCAAACCACAAGATGAGCTGCAGATTGCTTTGTCTCATATTTCACCACTAGGAGGGTTATATAAATGTGTCATTCATTCAAAGCATTCATGCTTATACTAAAATGCATTCAGGGTTAAACTTTATGAACTATACGTAATCATTTTCAGAAAATTACAGTACTGCAAAAGCCTTGAATGATCCCTGGTTTCCTTTATGCTTGCCTTCCAAGGAGCCAGACTTTCTTGCAATGTTTTAAAAGTTGCCCTTATTAGTAGTTCTTCAGATTTTCAGAAATTTTCTTTGGACTTTGGCTGCTTTTTTTTCTTGCAAGTTTTCCTGTCCCAGACCTTCAAGCTGACTACAGAATCTAACTGAGAAACGTGTCTGTATACAGCAGATATGTGGAAGAGACCAAATTTTACTTTTTAACCTACATGCAAAACACAGTTTGTGGTACTGCATATCATTCTGAATGCACCACTCCAACACTGAAGCTCGGTGATGGCAGCACCATGCTTTTCTGTGTTGACAGAAAAATAGGTTTGCAAAATAGGTTTGCAAAGAAGAACTAGTTTTCCTCCTGGTAAACCTGTCTGGCGCAAAACACATTTATGTTATGATGGCCCAGTCAAAGACCAGACCTAGATTCAATTGAAAATCTGTAGCAAGACTTGAAAATGGATAATTACAGTCTAAATTCATCCAATCAGTTTGAGCTTGAGTGATTTTGCCCAAAAGAATTAGCAAAAATCTCAACCGTAGAACCATACCAAGGGTCACGTTTATGTCTACAAAACAATGTCTTGGGGAGGGAGTTTAATGGACAACACTTTTTTTTGCAAGGCGCTGTGCGTCAGAGGTCAGTGCTTTGACAAAAAAGCATCATCAGTTAAAATGATGGACAAATATTGAGTGAAAAAGCATTCAAAATTCAAAGAACACCTAAAAAGACTCTTTGAAACCCCAGAGAAATATCGATCAAGAAAACTAAGAGATTACAATAAAGTCTGGCTCTGTTGAAGCAAAATTTAAAGATATAGTGCTTTGTAAAAATCTTTTGCACCTTAATGTATGGCAACAAATTTGCAACACAAAAAGCAAGCATAAAGGAAGATGCTGGATTTAACAATTGAAACATAGAATTTACTTTTCAGAACATCTACTTAATGTGTGAGGCGAGTTGCATGTGTAAAGATGGATCGACCCATTCCTACCGGTCAAACTCACAATAATGTCACAGTCTTTACTGTTTCACTTTTTTTCCCCTCTTGATAATCTATCTGTCTCGGTAAAACCCCTCTCAGTTAATATAGCTATACACATGGATTTATTATAATTCATATATATATATATATATATATATATATATAATTATACATTCTACTAGAATCGCAGAAACACACACAAACCGGGCCAGAGATGAGAGGTTGGTAAGAGAACACAGACCTACACAGCTACAATTCACCACATTGACACGCAGTATGCAAACAGGAGCTGCGGCGCAGTACTCTGGCATCCTTTCTTCACTCAACGACCTGCCGGCTGCAGCGCTGAAGCTGACTGCTCCAAAGATGTCACTTATAACACGTTCAATGGACAGGGTCTCCCCCGCCATCAGCTGACGTGGAGTGCAGGAACGGAAGAAAAGGATTAAAAGGGACGCTTCACTTAAATATTAGAATGGTTTGAATTTGAGTTGAGTCATTACTTCACGCCATCTGCTGCGTTCCTGCTACTTAAACTCATTAGCTTCCAAACAGGATGAGTTTTAATGGGAAAAAAAGGCCCATATGTTCACAACAGGAGAGGATGGGAGAATACTCGAGATGAAAGCAAAGCGGAGCAGATGGCGTCATGCTCTCAGCTCAAACCCACGTAAAATATCCCTTTCAGAGTAGTGCGACCTTCCCATAAACCCTACAGACTCACTTAAAATATCTTTAATATGTATATATTTTATATATATTTATTTAATATAATATGGATTTTAGTGCAGAAGTTACAGCGCCGACGTCACATGATGAGAGAGGTGTAGCCAATAGGTACCAGCCCCTCCTTGTCTCCCTGACGACATCGAATCCAATCCTGATCGACTCCTCCCAGCACCACCAGCTCTTCGCCTTTGCAGAAGCTGAGCTCCGAACCGGTTCCGGCGTGGTCACACAGCGCTCGAACGGACCTGAAGCACAAGAACGGTTACAGCCATGAGAACGACACTGTGAACATATGAACCAGGGCTGGATGAGTCACGACCAGGACCAATCGGAGCGATGAGTCACCAGACTGTGAACGTCCTTCAACCAGAGAAATGTTAACAGCAGCTATTCTGATCTCTGCTACACCCACTGGGGTTCCTGGAGGTTTAAAAAGAAATGAAACTTTGAAATGCCTTGCTGCTGAAATGTGCTATACAAATAAAATTTGATTTGATTTATTTTTTCCCATGACTAGTCCATCCTCTTGTATAACTGATAGTCTAAATCTGACGGTTTTATTTCATGTATATAATGGCAAAACATGTTATTTAAATATCCACCAAACATGGATTTTCTTTCATCGTAGTGTGGAACAAAATTAATTATCTACAATATTTAAGATTACACCGAGACATGTATAAAATATTCTGAGTTGTATTAGTAGTTTTTCTACTCCTCTCTCCTAGCCAACTGCACTTATCATAGCCTCAAAAGAACAGTTCTTCTTTGCATAGGTAAAAGAAGAACTGCAAGGGAAGAGATAACAAATAATTATGGGAACGGGATGAGATGCTTAACTTATCTGTGTAGCTTTGGAAGAATCCAGGTGAAGGACGCCTCCCCCTCAGGGCTGTCTATTTGGTTCAGATTACCCCTTTTCATGTTATGTATCCTAATTTGGTATTGGGCATTTGAAACTCCCACTTCCTGTGCGCCAAGGAACTGTATATGATTCTGTGATTGTTTCAGCGCTGTGTCGTTGTGTCGTTCTCCACTCACAAGTGATATTAAAGTTTTTGTTCTTCGCACGTTTGCTGTCTCAGTCTCATCTCTGGAAAATCTGTGCATTTCAACAGCAGTACTCTGGTTTGAATAAAGCGCCAATATGTCAATAAAAGTTTTAGCCAATTTTGATTTTTCTTTGATATCAATTAAATAAAATTTAAACTGTCAGACATTATTCTGTTTTTTTGTGTGAACTTTCTTTAAAGTCAGAGTTTGCAAACATTTCCTGAGTATTTGGTATTTTGCAAAAAAAAGCTTGTTTTTGTGTTTGTTTGTTTCTGCTCCACAAGCTTCCCACCATAGTTTGCTGGAATTCTGGCCCATTCCTATTAGGTTTGTGGTCTCTAATCCTCTCCTTCAGCGAAGCTTCCTCACATCATGATGCTGATGAAGGCGTTCACAGCCTTACAAGGTTCTCCATTTTTTAGAGACCAGTCATTAAGAAAAAACTATAATCTGGCTTTATAAATTTCTTCTTCCTCTCTTAGTGGCTCTTTAGTCAACATGACTCTTTTCACTGTGAATAATCACATTGGTGGTAATTAATATTTGATAACATTTTGTGGAAATGGATTCTTTATCATATCCTTTATCATAAAAAGCATTAGGATAATATATCACACTCAGTTTCATTATGAAATAAGCTGGAAAGCTTGATGCATTTACTTGAGATTGTGGTTTCACCGTGAGTTTTTCAGTCTAGGGTTAAAAATGTATTTACCAACTACATATTTCAGCCAAATTGAGTCGTCTTTAAAGGTTCTAAAGAATATCAAAACGTGTCTTTCTAGTTCAATGGAAAATTAATGAGTAAATAACAACTGCATCTCTAGCAGCTCAAGCTGAAAAGGCAGCTCTAGCATGAATCTGTGTTCTACCTGAATTGTCTGGGTTTTTCTTTCATTTCTGTGGCGTCTGTTGTTTTCTCTGATTCTATGTCTCTTCCTTCCTGAAGGTCACAAGTTCCACGTAGCGTTGGGGTGGAACTGCTGCTCACCATTCGGGTCAGAGCCGTGACACCAGGAGCTAACCACTGAGAGGGACGCCTGTGGATGGGAGAAATCAGACATAGAGGGTCATGAGATACAGGACAATTTTGTGGGCAGAAAACTATAAAAGTAGAATTTCACTTGATCGTTACATGCAGATTATTTAAGATTATTTGTTGTCCTCAGTGACATGGAGAAAAGAGTTTTGCTGGAGTTCTTTCTTTAATTCCCAAAAAGTGCAAAAAAATATTTTGCCTGTCTACATTCTGGACAAAAGCATAGTTTATATTCTTCCATCCTAAGTTCCTTTTCTGTGCTGATGCACTCAGTAAAGACAGCGGCCCACCTGGTTGGTGGTGTGTGACCCGTAGGGCTTTTGGAGGCTCCAAAAAGCCGGCCCAAACTCCAGGGAACCTGAGAGCCGTTGACAGGGGAATAGTAATTTCCTGTCTGGTCCTGGAAATCAGGACTGTTGGTGTTCATCTCCTCCTTTTTCACGGCAGGCAGGCTAAAGTCGGCCAGGTTCTGGCTCAGCCGACCTCCCCAGCGCATCACGGCTCCCCAGCTCTGCTGGATCACCTGCAGTTACAGTAAAAAAGAAAAGCAAAAGTCCATTTGGCAAAACTGTACTACCACAAGTGGTTGTAAGCATTGGATGATAAATTACTAACCTGTCCTGCTTGATGGGTAAAACTATCTTCATCTACATTAGAAAGAGGTAAAGTTTCGATTTCCTTTTCCTGCACCCACAGCAGCTGTGGACTTGTTTGCCCAAAACTAGGTGGAGCCTTCACAGGTTCAGAATCTATACTTGTTGATGTCTCTGATCCCCCATTGTTTAAAATCGGGGAAGAATTTGTATTTGGTGAATGTTCTGGGCTTCCAAAGTCCACTTCTGAGAGGCTCTCCATGTATCTGCCAGCTGGAGATTTCAGCTGGCCCTGCGGGGAAGCCTGGGGCCCGGCCTCCTGATGGGGAGACCTGGGCATCTCAGGCCTGTGAGAATCTGCCTCCAGATGATGGTGCTGGAAGAGCAGGTCGAGGTTAAAGGTGAGCAGGCTGAGGGGCTGCAGCACGAGGAGCAGCTCCTCAAAAAGAGGCCAGCAGGTGGTCAGCGACAGACGCATAAAGGAAGTAGGATGGTAATATGCCTCCAGCACATCTGAGGTTGAGAAATATCAAGGTTTAGAAATTGCGTGTAAAAGACGAATTTTGAAAACTATATTTTTCAGTGGTGAAATGTTCTGTGAAATACTTCTTGTGTCAGAGTAATTAGGACTGAATGCAAATCTCATTTAAAAAATTTATTTGCTGCTTTTGTTAACTACACAAAATTCCACTACAATATGTTTTGCTGGTTGAAGCTCAAGATGTCATAAATCTCTGGGGATATGAATACTTTAGCTAAGCATTGCAGCGACAGCCAGATCTGTTAATGATTTAGAAACTTACCGCTGCAAGACTGAAGATGACACAGCCAGAAATCTAGAAGCTTGGTGCTTTAAGAGAAAAATTATAGAAAGGAGAATGATATAAGCAGTTGCAATAAGAACATTTCCAGAGGACAAAATGTCAAACTTTTTTACACAGGGTTAGGAAAGAAGAGCTATTCCTTACTTTAGCAGACCAAGGAGGAATGCATTGAACCTCTGCTTGCTGTGTCTCAGCTGCGGCAGCTCGCCAACCCGGATTTGTAGGTTGAATAAGGCTTGAGTTTTGGGACCTTGCAGAAATGGTTGAGTGAAAGAGCATGAGAGTGAAAAAGAGGAAGACAGGTGATTGAAATACTGCTGTGAAGCTTGGCACCAATACAACGATCAATATCTGCATCCAGCTGGTTTCCTCTATTCAGCGTTTTCAACAGTAAAAATCAACAAAGATGAGGGATAAATATAAAATTGAAGTTTATCAACATCAACGGACTCCAGGACAGCTGCCAGACACCGTCCAAGTTTTTGGATGTTACCTGTCCTCGTTGTGGCCTGCACCAGACTCCAGGCTGAGTTTGGCCTCCGGCCTGCAATCAGATCACTCTGGTGAGGCTTCAAGCCGTCGGTCAGCAAATTGTGCAGGGCGGGGCAGAGGCACTGCAGCACCAGACGGCCAAGAGAAGGATTTATGGCGCTGTCTCCTGATAAAGCCTGGGGTGAATATGGAGGGGAGGGAAATGGAATTGGATGAGTTAAAAGGTTTGAGGCAATTGAAAAAGACGTTTGGAGAGAAACTCTCAAGAGAAAAAGGAGTGAAATATGCAATTCATGGACAAGTGTCTGAAGGAAATATTTGTTGATGAAATTCAACTTTCCATATTTTCCAAATAAGTCACCAGAATACTTTAAATTAGGAAACTTTAGCTTAGGAAATCATGCAGCGATACTGAAAGTGTCACATTTTCCTACATAATCTGTGTGTTTTACTCTTTACCTGCTCTCGAGTAATGTAGTGGTCAAAACATTTTTTCTGTCATGCCTTTCACAACTCTATAAGTCCTTAGTTTTCTCACAAAATCAGGCTGCTTGGCTCTCCAAAGCCTCTTCCAGCTAATACTGCACATGTTGTGGTTCGAAGAGAAGTCAAAGTTGTCGAACAGCAGCTTTAGTTTTTTCACTTTCTCCTTCATTAGCTTTATTTAGGCCATACACAGAGGAAGAAAAATACTCCAACAGATATTATTGGCATAAGCATTCTCTTTATACCCTTTTTGTATGTGTATTAAGTGACCACTCATTCATTCAGCAGTTTCCTTTGAAAGAAGGTTGTTTTTCTTAAAACAACCGGTTATTTTTCTACAGCCGCACAGAGAGACCGGCTTCAAGGGTCCTCTTCCATGTATGACATTGCATTTTTGTTTTTGTGGGCGTGACTCAAAACACTTTTTTGAAAAAGTTTAAAAATTGATTATTCACTTTGAAAACCCACATCTATACATTTAAACACTTTCAAAAAGAACAAAGTAATTAAATCTGCTCTTTAGGGACTGACCTTCTGGACTATGGTCCGAGAGGAACTGAACTGAGCCAAGATGGCCTCCACTGCAGCGCTGGCTCCACTGACCAGAGCTGAAGAGAAGAAACATTAAGGTAGGAACTGGGTGACAAGTTTATATGCAGTAGAAAAAAAAAAAACATGCATACAAATGCAAGAATGAACACCTTTCTTTTCCTGCATACACAGAGAGGTAAGGCCGAGACCCCTCACTGAATGCTCCGCATCCTCGCCCATCCAGGGAACGTCTATCTTCTGTACGGAGCCGGCAAACGAGACACTGCGGACGGCTTGCAGCGGCAGAGAAAATAATTACATACAGCTTCAATTTCTAAGCAAAACTAACATATGAGTGTTATTAAGTGAAATTAGGCAGATGTAAGCAGATGGTGCTTTGTGAGCACATCCTGAGTGTTGGAGCCACAGAAGTGAAGTTGTTTTACATCTGAATTCGTAATGATGGCTTCTTGTCAGCTTGAGTTAAACAGAAGCCCATGCATCAACCTCAGCTCACAAATTTATCAGGAAATTAATCGACCCATACCGACTCGCTTAATGCTTCCAATTTAAATAATAGATTTCATAAAACAAATTCCTGAAATCTTGCAAACCCCTAAAGCTTTACTCAAAGCACTTCCAGTGTGAATGTCTGCCCCCTCTAATAATTATTGTGACTCATTTAAAACTACAAACATTATCCTTTGCAAGGGAATTGGGTTTTAAATTAAACAAGAGCAAAAACCTAAATGTAATTTACAAAAGAGCTAATCCTGAAAGTCAGTAATTATAGCAGTCAGTCTCAACAGTCTTGAGTTACGTTTTTAAAATTGTGCAGTCAAAGTGTGATTTTCTTTAAAGTAGATAGTTCATCACATGCAGAGCCACAAATCTCACCCTAACAAGAAAGATTTTAGGAATTATTTATAATTATAATAATAATTAATTATTATTTATTTACTGCAAATAATTTTAGGAATTATTTTTATGTTCTTTTTTAAAATGTGAATGTGATGCAGTCTACTGAATATCAACCTAAAGTTTTGCTAACTTCACCACCCATATAATTGTGGCTATGTTGTTGCAAATTTGGAAAATCTGCTCTATTCAACAGACAACATTTTCTCTGCTACTATTAAAGTCCAAATATCATAACTTTATTTAATAATTTAATGTTGGTTGATTGTGTTGAGGTCAATGTTGCATTTAAATTGAAACCTGAAAAACTCCCAAAGTACTTTGGTCTTCCAGCAACCAGCACAGCCAAGCATAACTTCAACTTGGAAAGGTAAGTGTTTCTCCTGCGGGAGAGCCAATTAATATGTGCAAGAGAGTTGAACACGCCGCTACAATTTATTACTGTGAGGAGCAATAATTATTGTTGACGTTTCATGGTGAGACACGAGCAGCCTGCAATATTTCCCTAATGATATTTTTTTCCTGGAGTACGCTAGAGACATTTTATTCTAGATCTGGTTACAAAGAAAATGTAGAATTGCAGAGATGTAAATGATAACTTTAAAAATGGAACAGTCTTCACTGTGTTGAAAAAAAAAATCTTGTTACAATCATATTTTTTAAGTTAATTTGATAATTTAACGTAATCAAGGGCTGTCATAACAATTTACCCTCAAAGTCCAAATTTCAATATGTCCCGGTATTATTAGTAAAGAAAGAATAAAATAAAGCTCTAGTTTTTGCAAGGCTTCAGCAACAGAGCAGAAATGTTCATCTATGAATTTCTTCAAGAAATATATGACATGAATTCAGAGGTATTTGTGAGTATGTGTAAAACATTCTATAAATTTACAGTAAGAAAACCTGAACAAACAAGAAGCTAAAAACAAATAAATATTGGGGTTACCACAAAAATAACGGAACATATAATAAATGTGCAAAGACAGGTGTTGTGAACACACTGGTACTTATAGAACATGAACTTATAATTTAAAAGTCATACAGTGGATTTAGAAAGTCTACAAAATGACTATATTAAATTGCCAAGGGTTTGTGACATGAAAAATAAGACTACAATAAATCCTTTCAGACCTTTGTTCACCTTTAAATTGACCTGTAATCCTTATGACTCAAAAAATTAAGTGAAAAACAGTAATCTTTTTAAAGGACAAATAAAACTAAGAAATTTAGTTGCATAAATGTTTACATCATTATCAGTTATTATTATTGTTACTATTATTGTTACTCTTATTACTTTTAATAGTAGTAGGTATAAAAATATCCCAGTTGGAAAGAAAGTGTGCAAACCTATGCAACTGCATTTTTTAAGGTATTTTTCTTTTTTTGTCCACTCCACCGAGGCCTAATTTTTTTTTAAACAGAAAGTTTGCAAAACCTTTAAAACATTAAAGGTATTAAATATAGAAAAGTTCTGAAATCATAAAGCTCCTGGCATTTTAAATAGGGTGGACAGTCTCTTTTAAAATCCACTGTTTACGAAGGTTTAACTGTTATTATAGTGGAGGAAACAAGAAACAAAGTAAACACTTCTTACATTTTCTCTTTAATTTAAAGATCTACAGTGCTGTGGGTGTGCTTTGGCTGAGATGCATGTGTCAATTTTAACACATCATGCAGAAACAGGAGAAAAACAAGGAGAGAAGCCAGAACAGACCAACACAGACAAACAGACAGGGGAGGACGAAGAGAGACAGAATGAGCAGAGTGGCTGTAGACACGCTGTGACAGGACCAGCTGTTCCCTGTCTGAAGGCCCTTTTTGCAGATTTGAAGGAAGAGTGGAGATAGGACATATCGAATGACCTGCAGGTAGGTGCCCTCTGATATCACAAACAGCTGTAGTTACGGATACGTTCAAATCTGGAGAACTCCCTCAAAGCTAAAAAAGGGAACAGCCACTCCAGAGTGAAACATGCACAAGTTAAATGTCTAGCAAAATAATTACAAAATAAATAAGAAAAGAGAGACAGAGCAAATGTGAAATGCAGTGTGAGAAAGATTCTTACTCGCCACATGTGGCTGCGGAGGACCCTGGTAGAGTTTAGGGGGTACAGGGGGTACCCTGGGTGGGATGGGAGGGTAGAGGTTGGGGTAGTAGAGGGGAGCAGCGAGGGCAGGAAGGGTGTGAGAACGGGGAAAGAGCGGGGAGTTGAGGCGAGAGTGCGGGAGAGCTCCAGGGCGCTGGGGAGGGGAGAGGGCCCCAATGGGGGAGAGGCGTGGAGGGGCGCCCCGGTGGAGCGGGCAGTTTTTAGGGTGGTACAGGTAGCATGTGGGGAGGGGAGGAAGCTCTTTGGACATTCTGGCCTTAATGCTGCTATCGTCTGCACGGCAGCGCCTCTCTGAGTAGAGTGAATCCACAGCACTGAAGCTGTCTGGGTAACTCATCATAACATCTATGTTCTTATATGGAGTGGTGCAGCCCAGCGGTCCGGAGGTGCCACTAAGCGAGGCGTGGGTGTCGCCTCGCTTCTCCGAATCGCTGCAGTAGAGTGAGTCAAAATTACACTTCGACTCAACGTCCCCCGTGTTGATTTTGGAATCGCTGACGTACTTATAAGCTGAATGTGTGTTTTCACTGAAAATGTCTCTGTAGTAATGAGGAGAGTCTGCGCGGAAGTCAGCCAGGGAATCATCAAATCCAGAGCCTACAAGAGGGCTGGAGTCGTCTCTGTGGATATGAGCTGAGCCTGCAGCAGCAGGACCCCACTGTTTGTTGGAGGACCACCGATCTGCGAGGAGCTGCGAGTTATGGGGGTCTGGGTGGAGGGAAGGGAGGGCAGAGTGCAGAAAGTAGGGTTCAGGGGACCGGGTAAGGGAGAGCGGGGGTGAGGAAACTGTTCATTTCAGAGCATTAAGCGGAAAAATATTAGTCAGGATAGGGCGGACGTAAAGCCAAGCAATGGACATACAATGGATACAACCGAGTGGGATGGATGGGTGAGAAAAAAACCCAAAGTGATAATGTGGCAAAGAAATGGGAAGGAGAGAGAGAGAGATGCAGAGAATGTTAGTGTAAAACAGGAGAAAAATGCACAATTCTAATATTTCAGCCTCTATTGTCTAATAACAGAGCATTAGACTCAGATTTGGCTCATATTTAAAAACTGACCACAGGAGCCAGAGAGGCTGATTTATTAAGATCAATTCCACTTCCTTTAAATAAGGGTTAGTGTGCCTGTGGCTGTCAACCTCCCCTACATGTGATGTTCAGACTGCAGATAAGCAAATGTTAAGAACAGCTGTGAAGGCAACGTTTGCGTGAGTTTTTGTTTGTCCAGACAAAAATGAAAGAAAATCTGGCAGCAACTGAATCCTGAATTCAATCTTCTGACCAGCAGATGGCAGCTTTGAACAGAAGTCTTTAGATTTTGGATTTGAAATAAATAAATAAATGCTATAAAACCTCAGTATTTGACTGGGGTTTTATGTGATAGACCAACACAGAGTAGTCAGTAATTGCACAAATACAGGAAGTTAATAATTAGCTTTCAAACTGTTTAAAAAAAACAAAAAAAACATTGTGTGCATATAGATTTATTTATCTAAATAAAATCTAGCACCCCCAATTGCTCTAAGGGATACATGTGTGCAATTTCATTTCAGAATAAATCCAACTGTACTCACAGTAATTTTAACTCATGAGTTAAAAGTGGAACTTTTTAGGAGGCGTGCGTCTCGTTAAATGAGGTATAGAAGTAATATAATTTCAGTAAAAGTCTAGACCTTAAAGCAATTAAGAATCTGGGCTGAAACTTGAAAAATGCCGGTCCCACATGCTAGAATCAATCTGACTGTGCCTGAGCTGTAATAATATGTAAAACAACGTCCCTAGAAGCTGATAGGACTTGCAGCTGCAATCACAGTCAAGGACATAGGAAAAAGCATCGAGTCAGAAATATTGAAAAGACATTGCACGTCACACCTTTCAGATATTTATTTCTAGTAAAAAAAAAATTATTAAAAATCCAGAAGAATACATTAAAATTGTTTGTCTTGAGACAAACTAAAAAAGTTGATGAGGTGTAAACACAGTGTAGTTTCACTTTCTATCACTTCCTTGAGAAAAGTGTATGAAGATAGTACATTTTTAGACTCCATAAACTACTCAGAGTACTTTAAACTTCACTGCAGTGCTGTGTCACCTCCGGATCACCTTTCCTATGTCGGTTTTCTCCTTTGTTTCCTCCGTTGCTTTTACCTTCCTGTCCTCCCCAGCAGTAACAGCAGTCAGCGTATGAATGCTGAGTCAGTAGACAGAGATAACACACTTCAGTCTCTAACCTCGGCTCTGTAGAGCCTCAGAGTGGCACTACAGTTTTCTCCCAGGCTAAAAAAAGAGCTGAGAGAGAAGTCGTACCTTGTTTAGACTTGAACCTTTGAACTGAAGTCAACATATGCTACTTCCTATTATCAAAACAAAACTCTTAGCAATTGGCCTATACACAGAGATCCACCCCTTTGGCTCTTAAAGGTGTACACACCTTTTTGTAAGTTGTTTCATTTTCCTGTAAATACATAGATTTCAGGAAAAAAAACAACTTGTTAATTTCTTCATGAGCGGTAGGAAAAATGTTCAACACTACTGCATCAATCAAAGAGATATTTCACTCCAAGATCTTAAAGAATTAAAATAAACTTTCATATTAGAGGACTCTGTGGATACAGGGAAGCAAACATCCTGCACATTATGAACTGATGGGAATTAAATTCATCAGTTTATAATGTCATTTATAGGCATCATAAACATTAGTAGGATTAATCGGAGAGAAAAAGCTATCAAAAGCAACCTTGCTCTATGTGAAAAAGTTATCCTTGATATACCTAAATCAATGATGAATTTTGCTGAACCAAGGAAGAAAGGACATAGCAAAGAAGGAGCACTTTTATACAGTAATAGTGATAATAATGCCAGGAAATACATGTATTTTTCCTTACTTCTATTTGCCTTTTTCCTACTTTTCCCAGACTTGGCAAATAATAAAATCAAATTCCAAACTTTTCCAGATTGAGTAGGGATCCAGTTCTGAAAATAAGAAAGCTGAAAATGTAAGAATAAAAGTAGACTTTAGTGCTCTTCCATTATCCCCCAACCCTCAGAATGAAAAGATGATAAATAATTGAATAAGTTTGTGATGAAGTCACACTTTGATAACCAGTGGAGGATGTGCTGGCTGGAAAGTTTCCCACCACCTCTTTTATCTCATATTACCTCATCTATCTTCACTGCTGTTCATCTTCCACTCCCGTGCTTCCCTCACTCCTACACTGCGTACCCCTCATTATCAGCCATCCATCACATCACCCTTACTTTCCCTCTGTGAGCCATGCTCAATGTACCATTACCATTAATGAGTCAACATTTTCATCCATCTTGGTTTTTCTATTACGAGACAACAAGGACGAAAATGTCCAAGGAAATAATCTCTGCATGACTGAGGATATAAGAACGCAGCCTATCTGCCTGTTTGTGATTCTCTCTTTACCCTTTTCTTTATCTTTTCATCTCGATTTTCATTTAGAGTTTGCAATGGACACATAAATACAGACATCTACAGGGCTGTGCAAAACCTCCTATCTCTTCACGTTTTACTTCCAAATACTTAAAACAAATAATTAATTCAACAAACATTGTTGGACTGGACGCAAGGTTAAGCGTGGATGAAAGCTAACATTGCACATCAGCATGAAATATGACGGTGGCAGCATCATCTGGATAATGTGTAATTTTCTGCCAACATTACACACGTTACTGCTTTATGGTGTCTATCACATAAAATCTCAATGAAACATACTGACGGTTTCTGGATGCAACATAACAAAATGTGAAGGACTGAAAAATGTAAGAATACGTCTGAAAAAAATCTTAGGTTTTCAGCTAAAAGATTGTTCAACAAGGCTTGCTGCAACTAAAAAAACTGTTTTGTTTTCTTATGGATTTAAGTAAAGAAATGGGAACACTGTGTGTCATTTTCACTGCCTGTTGGTCACAAAGAATCTACAGATCAAATTGGTTCTTTGCTAACTCTTTTGAGGCTCAGTTGGAAGTGAATTAAAAACTAAGACCATTTTTCTGTGTGAACATGAGAAATCACTTCAACTGTATTAAACTGGAATAGCCTTGATAGTTATGTGTTGACTCATGAAAGTTGTACTCACCAGAAGTTCTCGATTCAATAGTTCTCCCTCCATCAGCCCGGCCTCTCACCTCCACTTCCTCTTTTCCTTTCTCTGTCTTCCTTTCCTTCATCTCTTCCCTCATCTCCCTGTTTTGGTCTACATTCCACAGGCTGCTGTCACTGACTGAGCAGCCGATCTTCTGCGACAGGCATAACTCCAGCTGTCCACCCTCCTTGTCAGCTCTCTGCAACATCTCCTTCAGGGCGGCCATGGAGGTGAGGGCTGGAGGCGGCTGCATGAACAGGGCTTGGGCCTGTGAAGTGTACTCCCACTGGCTGCCGTCACTACCAGCCTTCTCCCTCCTCCACCTCAAGTTGTAGAGTATATCTGGGTCGGGGGTGATAACAGTGGGGTCGGGCTCGGGATCTGTGATCACCTTTGTGGGAGGGGAAGTGCTCTTGTTGCGGAAACGGAGCTCTTTAAACGTTGTCACCTTTGGACCAGAGCCTGGAGATGAGCCTGATGACCTGAGCTTTTTTGGGACTTCGGTGGTGGATTTTCTCTTCTCCAGTACTGGGAGCTGTGGTGGGGCTTCACATTCGGGTGTGAAAGCTATAAGCCAATCAAAGCGCTCAGGTTGCTCAGAGTTAGCAGGCAAAGTGCTGACTTTGAGGGGCGCTAAAGAAGGTGGGATGGGAGGCAAAGGTCGAGGAGGTGGAGGAGGTGGAGGAGAATCTGGTAGCTCATTTGAATAAGAGAAAGTCTTTCCTGTTGCTTCGTGTGGATTATTAAAACCTGTGCTGTAGTAATGATCTGTCACCAAAGCAGCGTTTTTTTGCTTTCTTCTTGCAATTTCAGTGAAAGAGGTGGTCCTTTGTCTGTCTTTGCTTTCCCCCTCCTTAATGCCGTCCTTAGAGGCCTTTCCATCTCCACCCACTTTGCTTATGTCGTTTTCCTTCTCTGCCTCCCTGTCTTGTAATCTGAACTCGCTGGACTCCTGAGATCTGGATGTAAAGTGATTATCTGCTTCCTCCTCATCGTCCAGCTCCCCAACGCAGACACTGAGCTCAGGGCTGAGTTTGAGGAGCTCGGCTTGGGTCAGTCCGGCAAGCATGAGCAGCTTCCGGATCTCCACGTCCAATGTGTGGAAGGAGGGCGGAGGGGGCAGGGCAGGTGGTGGTGGTATGGCGGGGGGTGAGAAGGAGCAAGACACTGAGATGACAGGCGGAGGAGGCAACGGTGGAGGGCGTGTGGTGGGTGGCGGCAGAGAGAGGGGAGTTCTTTCCTGTTCAGCTTGAAGAGCAGCGAGGCGCTGGGCCTCCTTCCTGGCCAGGTGTCGCTTTCGAGGTGGAGGGATGGGTGGGGTTGGAGTGGGAATGGACGGAGGTGGGGAAGGAGTGGTATAAAGGGTGAGATAGGGAACTGGTTTGGAGAGAGGAAGAGGAGGGATGGAGGGTGGGGATGGAGGGAGGGGCTTCTCACATCGAAATGTTGAGAATGTGGGCGAAGAGGAGTTGGGGGAGAAAGTCGATAAAGTGGGGGAGGTTGTGACAGCCATGGAGGTGGTCTCTCTGCTGATGTTGATGTAGGTGTGGAGATCAGAGCTCACGCTGGCATGACGGGCAGGAGGTTTGGGGGGTCTGGGTGGCGGCTCAATGGGGGAAGGGGTGAGGGAGTCTGGAGCAAGGGGATCTTCACAGTCTGATGGAGCGGTGAGATCAACTCCGGCGTCTGAAAACTCCTGAGACTCTCCCATTGTTCCATCACGGGTTTTATACAACTTCCAGGGAATGTCAATGTTCCCCATTTCATCCATAATATCTGAGAGGTCCTGCTCCTCCAGATCCTCAAGATCAAACCCCTTCTCATGAAGTCTGGCAATGTAAGCCAGCTTCACCTCCCTATTCACTTTTTCCAAACGATCCAGGTGATCTAGGCGATCCCTCAGTACATCCCAGTGTTGTGCCCCTTCCAGATCCCAGCGAGCAACTTGGATCACCTGGCTGAAGCGCTCCATTTTCCCAAACTCTCCTACAGACTCTAGGAAGTCAAGTAGATCTAGTTTGTTGACATCAGAATTGTCTTTTACCCCTAAGTAGTCAGGAGAAGGGGAGTCAAGCGCAGAGGGGTAACCCTCATCGGGGGAGCAAGAGGCAACTGGGGAACAGGAGGTTAGGGAGAAAGGATTCTTGTTAAGAGGAAGAGATGAAGGATGTTTGAACTCAGTGAGTTGGTCTTTGAGGTTCAAAGTAGCAGACAGATGGTCCTGGTCCTGTGAGAAGCACATGGAAGCGCACTGATCGGCACAGTCAGACTCCAGGTCAGAGCAGGAGCTGATGGAAGTGGAGGATGATGAAGTAGAAGAGGAGAGTGAGAATTCCAAGAGGGAGGGGGGGCAGTCACAGCATGATGGCACCAGGGTGTCATCATCGTCATCGTCACTATCTATCTCATCGTCCTCATCATCTTCGACAGCGGTATCTCTGCTGCTCATTTCCTCCTCATCATCTTCATCTACAGTTTTCTTGTTGTCCACGTCTGCGTTTTCATCTGCGTTCTTTACATCGTTTTCCAGATTGGCAGCAGATTGGGCAGAGGGCTCTGCATGCGAGGGAACCGGCTCTTTGGCCTTCATCCCATCACGCTTTTGGGCCAACTGAACCACAGGAGGAGGAGGTAGCTGCAACTGCTGCCTGATGGAGATGGTGTTGTTGTTGTTGTGGTTATGGTTGAACATGCTGTTGTTGTCCTGAGGGGAGCGCCCATCGCAGCACAGGCAAGGGAGGCTTGGCTCGTTGCAGTTTGGATCCAGAGGGAGGACGGAGGGAAGAGGCAGAGGAGGGGCAGCGACCTCTGGCGTGTTCCGTGTCGCTGCAGATGGCCGAGTGCTCTTCAGTTTGGGTTTGGCCAATCTGGAAGCAGTGGGGCCCTGTTTCTGAGAGCTCGGTCTGGACTGGATTATAGGAGCTCGTGGCTGTGCGGGCGTCTTGCTCCTGGAGGAAGCAGTGGGGGCTTTAACAGCCCGCCTGGGGGACGGGGTGGTGATTGTGTTCATGTTTTTATCCTCCTTCTGAAGACTAGAGCCACGAAGCTTGGAGCCAGCTGAGTTAGGGGTCCGCCTGCTGGCGTCGAAACGCCGCGGCTTTGTAGTCTGGGAGGACGACTGCATCGTGGGAATGGGACTATTTAAAATTCTCAGATTCTTCTGTTGCTATAGAAACTGGTGCTGGAAATTCTGGACAGATCCGGTCTACGATGCACCGTAAGTCACATCTTGGCTCGACTCCCAAGATCCTGCAACATCAAAGGAGACACATGATGAATCATTTCTACGAGCAGGCTCGGCTCACCAAACACCAGTTTTGGTGTCTACACGTGTCTTTGTTTCATACGAAATTGAAGTGAAGCGAATGTAGTCTATAACATATTCATTAAAATCCAGTTTTACAGATATCTCTGGAGATCCAGAGAACACTTTGTCTCATGCTGTTGATGTCAAAGAAAATAACATGTGATGATGTCTTTTTATTACAGTCAGCTATGCATGAGTAGGGATATTCCATTCTCTTTTGTATATCTGCATATCTCCAATGCCTTGCAAAAGCATTGGATTGTATTGCTGAAACTCTGACAGTAAAATGGGTTTACAAGTCTTCATGGCATACAAAGGGATTCACACCCTTTGAACTTTCTTAGACTTTCTGCAGAATTTCCCTGTCTTAAACCCATCTTCTTATCAAATCCACCCAGGCTCCACCTGTACTTCCTAAAGAGAAGCGTTTCCAACCAGGATTGAAACTGAATTCCACTTTTGGACTGTGCTTCATATTTTATGGGTGCTGGATCATTTTTAATACTTTCCTTTTTTCAAATTAATACTATATTTCATTTTATGTCCTTTTCAAAATCAACATGAATTATGAAATACTTTCTGAGTGGTTTTGTTATCCACTGCCACAGGATCCTTTTTTTTTTTACAGCTACTTAAACACTGACAGCAAGAAGACTCCCTCGTGTGGCATGCTCAACATAAAATTTAATTTCATTTGAACAAGTTTTTCATTCTTTCTAAATATTTTTGCCCTGACATTGGAAAAGTACACAATCTAACAAGCTACCCTTGAAATATTACATAATTAATATTATGTACTATTAAAAATATTATTAATATTTAGGTAGAAAAGAATAAAATGGCAAATTTAAATGTTTGTGCTCTGAAAATGTGGACATTACTTGGAAGATATGACTACTTTTATACAATTACATTTCTTACACCTTGTCATTTTTTCTCAGTTGCTGCAAAGACTGTGTCCACCGTACTTATTGTGTTATTTTTCATCTTTGATGTTATTGTAATAAATTTCTACAGTTCTCCTAACACGGTGATTTGTAAAAGTTTTTTACATATCGTTACAATACAACCACAAACTTTGGTATATTTTTTATTTTATTTAACCCTATTAATAATTTTCTTTCTACTTCAACTCAATTCAGTTGAGTTTATTTATACAGCAGCAGTCCATAACACGTCTTTTAGAACAAAAAGTAAATTCAGTCCAAAAATGCAATACATTTCAATTGATTCTAGTTGTCAAAAGATGCAATCAAGCTCAGTTTATTAATCAGACTGATTAAAATATGCAAGGACATATAGTGACTTCAGCACTTTGCGATGGTCTAACATGACATCTCCACAAAATAGTTTGCGGTTAAAATGTGACAACATCCGGACAACCTGACGGGATACGAATGCTTTTGAATGGCATCGTGTAGATAGAACCGTCATCTTATCGGAAAGCTTCCTCAGCAATCATGAGTCGATAGAGTTTCCGTCTGTGCCACAGGCTGATGAAAGGAAGGAAGAGCAACATCAAATGAAAAAGATTGTGGGGGGGGGGGGAGGGGGGAGAAAAAATAAAAAATCCCCAATACCTGGAGCATAACGCAGATGTAACTGGAGCATGAAATAATCAGCACATCACTGAGTGTGCCTTCTCATTTTTAAAGCCCATCCACCGAGGACTATTGCTGACATATAGAAAAAAATATTACTATATATATATATATATATATATAATATATATATATATGTTCCCTTCACAGCAACGGGAACATAATGACTCAATAATCTGCTTGTTCTCAGGAATCAGGTTGAAGCCAGCAAAGCATATATATATATATATATATATATATATATATATATATATCTATATATATATTATATATATATATATATATATATATATATATTATATACATATATATGTTCCCTTCACAGCAACGGGAACATAAATGACTCAATAATCTGCTTGTTCTCAGGAATGCAGGTTGAAGCCAGCAAAGCTATAAAGTACACCAAGGAACTAAAATACAAGCCCCTGCCTATCTTTGCGTGTGTTTGGACGGTCCCGTGCAGAACCTTGTTTGCATTGATCCCACAGAGCTGCTGATGGAGACAGGGCTGAGGATGGGTGGAGGAGAGGGGGTGGGGGAAGGCTACATCCATCCGCATCGCTCTCAAACAGGCCCACACGCCCCATTTATTACGCTTTATAGCATCAACCTCCATTTTATCCCTCTTCTAACTCCAATGTGCGAATATAGAAATAAAATGATATTAAATAATGTATATTTAAACCTACACAATCTACATATCACGACCTCAAGCGGAATTCTGTTTTTTTTTTAACCATGTTAAATCATGACATTTTCTCTGACATGACTCGTTAAAGCAGGTGCGCTTAAAAAGACAATATACGGACATGCATGCAGACAAATGTTGCATTAAAGTAACTCACGTCGGATTCGTTTAAAGATGGGTGAAGGTCTCCATCTCCTATGTCTCTCTCACATCCAAGTCCGGGAGGATGTGGATTCTTCTCGTTGTTAACGGCCCTATCGTTTGTCTTCTCGCGAGAACACAGAAACGCCTCATTTCACCCCCCCCCCCCTCCCCTTCAGCCAACCCCTTGTTGGCATCAGCATAATTAGCCTCAAAGTCCATAACATTCCAATTTTTTTTAAGTATTGTCTTCAAATAAGTGGGGGTAAAAATAAAAAAATAGTCTTTTATAAATAATAAATTGTCCTGACATTTGTTTAAATGTGCCATGGATTTATTAGCTCAATTGCGAAAAAAAAACCCCACACAAAATATTTAATTTCTTTAATAGCAATTTTTTCTATTTAAGTAATTTAATTCAGAAATAGAACATATTTTATATAAATGCATTAATGTATTCCATTTTTTTCGTTTTTCTTTTGTTTCAAAACATTACAAAAAACTGGCTTAAAGTTAATGAAAACCAAAATTCAGTTCCTCAGAGAAGTGGAAATTTACATGAGACCAATAAAAATCATCGAATACAAGCCTGTATGAAAAGCAAACTAACTTACAGTACACAATGTGCACTAAACATTTGCTTGGGATACATTTCTGCAAGAATAACTTCATCTGTGACCTGATAAAGCATTTCATCTTTTTTTTTTTTACACAAATTGTGCAGTATGGGGAAAAACATGACTTGGAAACAATCTAGCCAATTCTCTTTTCACGCCTGGTAAGAGGTTTCTGAAATTGTATCTGCTTCAAGAAAAAAAAAAAAAGGCCTCACATGAGGAATGTAACAACTGCAGGTGAGGACCAGAAGTTTGTAATCCTGCTGAGTCAGCAGTCATCCCTAATATGAATGCTATTTCACCCAAATGTTTTCCTCTCACTTGATTTTTCTTACTAACATATCCAGACAGCAGTCTTTGAACAATGACCCTCAATGGCTTATCCTTTTGTGAAGCATGTTACAGACCACTACTGGTTACATTAGCAGTTATCATTGTGTATGCCATGAAATAAAAAATTTTATGTTAAAAAGTGTAATATTCCTGCTTTTAATACAAAATGCTTAATTATTTTAATATTGACCATTGAGGAACATGGTTTCATGTAAACATTTCCTGTTGGACTTTTATGCTATATTGTGAATGAGACGAACTGAGGCTGATTTTCGTTGCCGTTGTTCAGTTTCGTAATTGTGAAACCGGATCTAATTTACTGTGTCACTGGCATATTAACATTGTTGACAAATTGCTGTCTTAACGCATTTCATGACCGTTATATCCTACATGGTTCTTGATATAAACGGTCCGATCATAACTGAAGTTCTGACGGGGATTATTGAGGTTTTCTATAAAGGGATCAAATGTCTGTGATTGATAAAATGAGATGTAGATTAAGTGACAGTCCTTTACATACCCTTCACTGGTTTCCAGTGAAGTGTATGGTCTGGTTCTGTGGACCAAACCAGAACATTATTTCTGGATGTTTAACAATTTCTTTCAGTTGCTCAGCAAGTATATTTGGCGTCCATTATTCTTGCCCAGAAAAAGGATGCAAAAGAGACAGATAATACATAATTTATTAGGCGCAATTAGATTGAAACAGTTGGGTATTTTATAAAAACATTATAAAAAGGTTTTAGGAAATAATCTCCCAGGAGACATATCCTTCCCAAGCCCAAATAAAGTACAACTCTTTCTTTGACATTATTGACAAAATATAAACGATACCTGCGTTGGGACTTTGCTGGGATAAATATACCCTTTTCTCTGCCTTTTAATCCTGTTCTCTGACATTCATAACTTACTGAAAAGCTACTTAAATACTTATGTTCAACTCAGATTGGTTTGAAACTTCTCCCTTGTGATTTTAATATCCTAGTTCCAGTTCTTTCCTGTGATCTTCCATCCCTCACTTGTTCCGCTTGTAAATCTTCTTGGCGAAGTTGAGGAAGATTGAGTGAGGAAGGTTTGGAGCGTGCCGAGCGATGAGTTTCTGCAGCCGCTGGTAGCTCTCCTCCTCATATGTGTGATACAGTTTCGGCATTAGTAGGGCGTTGTACACCTCTTTGACCTTCGCCACGCTGGCTTCATCCTTGCGCCCGTAGCAAGCCTAAAGAGAATGTTAAAACATCAGCTCTTGATGCAATTCAGTGGAAAACGTGTTGCATGAAAATAAAACAACCACACGCAAAATTAACCTTCTTCTGAGTCCATCACAAACCCCAGACCTACATCACAGATAAACCCTTCAGGGTTTATCTTCGGAGTCACAAAAAAGATCCAGTAAGATCCAATATAGAAAAATGTTTCAGAGGATGACCAAATGCTGTTGAGATGAAATTGCAACACATAGATAGGAATTGGTCTGAACTGGTGCAAATCAACCTAAAGCTTCACAGTGGGCTGCAACAAACACCTGCCTAAGTAAAAATAGGGTTTTTTTTTCATTACGAAATGTGCAATGGCTCTAAGGGAAAAAATAAATCCCATGAGTCTTAAAAGAGCTTTAGATTTAACTGCATTTCCACAGAGATCCAACATGGAATGGTTGTTAGCACAATTTTCCATGAACATCCAAATGTGGATGCACTTAAAAACATTTGAATATTATTTCTTAAGAACAGCCTGATTATATCAGCTGCACTGTAAAGGTTTTAGTAAACATCGATCTTCTGAAAGTAAACAAGAGGAAGCAGAAAAATAACAGGATATGCAATGAGATGGGTATCTTTGTGGAACATCCTTATTTGTGGCCAGAAAATGGCTGAAATAGGGAAACTGGCATTTTCAGTCTGGAAGTGAAGGCTAATTTATTGATAAATGTTTGATTTGCCTTCAAAAACAACTTTATTTTTTGTTGGCGACGACATCCATGCAAGGAAACTTATAGTAATCTGATGTTGCGGCATTGGAGTTAAACTTTGACCCATAGATTAGGTTGCTATGAAGAGATTTTTGCTCAAATGGGAATGCTGCACAACAAACCTCACCTCCAGAACTGATCTCTGCTCAGGAGTCATCACTTCTAGGGCTTTCACCACCAGCCAGCTGCATTTGTTGTCCTGGATGTCTGTCCCAATCTTTCCAGTCACAGCTGGGTCGCCATAACAATCCAAGTAGTCATCCTGCGGAATAAAACGTAGAAATGGTTTATCATCACGGCAGACATGGCAGCATGTTATTTAAACAGTGAGAAAACTGATCATATTAATAACCAGCTACCTGTATTTGGAAAAACTCTCCCATCTCCAGTAAGATCTGCTTGGCATTATTGTGTTCCTCTTCGCTGTCAATCCCTGCCTGCAGGAATGAAGGTCCAGCATGTCAGCTGCATGCTTACAGTCTGTGCTGGCTTAACTTTCCCCCAAAAAACAACTCTGCAGTCTTCAACTTATTCCAACTATACAACAACTAACAACACAAACATACTCACCATGTACATTGCAGAGGCCACTGGGAGATAAAACGAATAAAAGGCAGTCTTGTATTTCACAATTGCTTTATACCTGGAATGAAGAAAAATTTACATTTTTACTCTGATAAACTGCATATTTAAATATTTAATTTAAGATACTTCTTCTGCTTTTACCTTTCCATGGTAAACCTGTTCAGGTCAATGTGACCAGGTGGAGCCGTCATGAGGTCCAGGGCCTGACCAAGTTCAGTCTGGAAGGTGGACTGAAACACAAAAAGACAACGATAAAGAACATCATTTTTCTTTTGAGAAAAATATCATCATTTATTTTTCTCAAAGAAATAAGCAGGCTTAAAATCTGCGGCTTTTAAACTTAACGTGCATTTTAACATATAAATTGCAAAAAAGTTAATCTTCTAAGCAGATACAGTTACAGCGTCTGAGCTATCCATAAAAACCTAAATGAACAATAGGGAGGAAAGATCAGAGGACAGAGGAAAGGGAGTTAAAAGACAAGCAATAAAGAACAAAATGTAGGACAAGAGGAACAAAGGAAGGAGTTAGGGAAAGAACAAGACAAGACTGAAAGACAGGAGAGAAGAAATTAAATTAGGGAAGGTTACAAACTCATACTTTGACATATACAAACATATATTTTTAGGAAAGACTTCAGACTTATCATCCTTCTTCAAGGCAAAGTAAAATCTTAAACATGGAAAACTTTCTCTTGCAAATAGCGGTCATATCCCAACACTGAGGTAAACACAGCCCACCTTATTGCTGCTTCTCTCCAGGGACTTACCTCATTAAAAAGCTCCAGTAAATGGACGTAATACGGCTCACCCCTGCATTGCCTTCGAAGGAGTCTATATATTGATGCCTCCACAAGAAAGGAGTCATTTATTGCATCCAGGCCTATTCCATTCTTAATAGGAAGAAGAGAATATTTATTTATGTGTCAATAAATGCGTAACAAAAATACATTTCAGCATAGATTGTCTCTTTTGAATGGCTGAGCGCTCACCCTCTTGTACCAGCAGGGTTGACCTCGCCGGGTCACAGATGCATCCATGATGTCATCCGCCATGAGGAAAAATGCTTGAAGCTGTAAGAAATAGAGTGACAAGGCTGAAGCTCGAGATAGCAGCACACAGTAACACCCCGAGTCAAAGAAACAAGATTTTACAAAGAGCTCAAACTACAGCGCTTTTATCCCTAGATGTTTTCAAATTGTGTCTTATTATGACTTAATACTTGTATGCATTTTATTGGGGTTCATGTGATAATTAAATACAAGGAAGACAAAATAAAAATAGGATTTCAAGATTTTTACAAATGGACATCTGTCACTACAAGCTCAGTCATATTCTATAGCACGCTTCTGCGCAAATCAATTTAACTCCAGGTTATAAGCATCAATGTTTGGGATTGTTATGTGAAAAAAAAATTCTGGCAGCATCACAACTTCATACACATTTGTTGATTTTAATTTGTGGACTACTTCTGTCCGGGTTTTATATCAGATTATTTGTTTATAAAACTGGTTCTAAAGAATAATCTTGACTGTTTTATTCAGACCCTGGTCCCTAAAAATTAAATTTACTCATGACCATGCATGTCTCAGTACCATTTGACCCCAGGTGTGATATCTGAAACCCAATTGTTTCAACTAAAAACACAACAGTATAATGCAAAATGCTTAATAGTGCGCTCTACTAAAGTTTCCAACTTTATCTTTACAATTGCTAAAACAAAAGTTTGCTAAATCATGTGGATTTACCAGGCACTGGCTAATTTTTAAGTATGAGACTTCAAATCCTTACCATCTCTATGCACCAGCCGACCGTCAGAGCTTTCTGCACAGCATCCTGACTGAGCTGGGACGGCGGAAGAAGCTCCCTCAGGGAGCCAATCACAGACAAACCTCTGTTCTTTTTGCCTCCAGGAACATTGTAATCCAAAACCTACACCAAAAAGCGGATAATTAGGCTAAGTCAAAACTATGGGATTTGCAGCGAAGCTCACAAAGCGATGCCAAATAAAGCTATACCTCTCTCAACCTTTTCAAGGCGTCCGCCAGCGCAGGATCCTGGAGGTCCCTCTCGGTCAGCTCTGTCACCAGCTCCTCGAACTTGGCGTCAAACAGCTGAGAGTCCGAGAGCGACGCCTTTTTGCAGGGTGTCCCATTGCAAACGGTGTCCCCCTGCAAACAGGAGGCAGACAGTATAAATGCCCGGCTTTTAAATCTGAACGGAGACGCAGCCGACCGGATTGCCCGAATGGTTTTAGGTGCATTAATGACACCGCTCAACAGCAGGCGTCTCATTCTGGAGCAAACTCACTCCAGGAGCGCGACGATGTGTGGCTTTAGCGGCAACATGACGTTACAAACTCGTTTCAGTCTACGATGGAGAGAATTGTCGAAGTAAGCTTCCGATTTGTGACTTCCGGTACATATAAAGGGCAGTTTCACATTTTTTAAATTCATGCTCAAAAACCACCACTTTTAGAAATATTTAGTCAGGACTCCACTACCAACATTGTGGATTATTTAAAATACATCACGTGACCTGTAGAATCACTGCATAGATATTTTATATATGCCCAGAATAGTAATATAGGTTTTATTTTACAAATCAAGAAAACTTCACAAGTTACATTTTAAAGTGCACACACTTAATCTACAGCAATCCAATATGAATTTGGCAAGTTTACGTGTTATCAATTGTTAATTAGAAATATTTTAAAGTTCCATAAAGGACGTGAATATACCTTTAAATTGAAAGTGACAAATCTGAAGCTAACTTCAGCGTCTCGTCAAACTGGGTTGCTGTGATCGGGATGATGGTTAGCTTTCTGCTTTAAATCTGTTATCATGCGATGTATGAAATAACCTTATGCTTCGTTTGTCTGTATATCTTTACATACCATAATATCTTTGGTCTGTTGTTCCAAACTGCACCGTATAGTTGAATAAAATCAGCTTGTATCTCCTTCTCGCAGACAAACGGAGGTTCTTTGAACGTTCCTTCAAACCAGGACATGGAGATTGTAGTTCATTACCTCACCCTGGCTGTTTTTATCTGAAATGATCAGAACTAAATGTCCCAGCGTCCCTTGCATTTGGGCGAGGTCAGAAAAGGCTTCATGTGACATTAGACGTTTTCATTGGTTGCTCGCATCGAACCAGGATAGGATCTTCTGATGATCGACCAATAGGATCTAAGCATGGGCGGAGCTTAAGTGGAGTGGTCAGATTAAATCCAGCGTTCATTGCACAGGTGAAGTAAAGAAGTAAAATTTCAACCAGTGAAATTGCAGAGTGATTTTACATCATTTCTCTAGAAATTTATGATGTTTTCAACCGAGCCTGAGAAGGCAAAAAATAAAATAAAATAAATTAAGCCTTACTCTCAATTAGTTTTTAGTGTAACATGATACTTCCAAATCCTAAGAGCTTTATAGTTGAATAGAAGCTCTAAATGTTTATTAATAAATTAATGAATTTTATATCAGTCTACTTATGGGAAAATAAACTCCTAAATACAAAAAAAAAACAGTATTTTTTCAGCTTTCTAATTCTAATTTTGGCTTTTACAATATCTGCAGAAACTTTTCATTTAATTAGAATGCTTAATGTTACTTTCCAAACTATTGATCAATTATGAATTGATAAAATGTCTGTGTTTGTAATTTATCTTTTCTACCTACAATTATTATGACAGTGTTGACCTCTTACGGAGTTTGCTCTAGCAGAAGAAATCTCCAAACTAACAGGGTTTATTATGTTAAATAAAGGTTAAATACATATACGAATTGTGCTTTATGTTATTTAACTATAAATTGCTGTACAAATCAAGAGCTGTAAAGGTAATTTTAAGCTAAAATAAAACATTCAGAAGAACTTTGTGTTGTGCCATAAAAAGATCCCCTACTGAATCTGACCTATATTTGCTTTTAAACTTAAAGTTTTTTATACATTTTTTCCTGCAAACCTTTCCTATACTTGGGTATTAGTTTGAAATTGTTTCTTAAATCTGACTTTGACCATGCCACATATTAAATATTCATGTGCAATCTCCTACAGCTCTGGTCAGAAGTTTGGGCAGGAATGTCATTAAATTTCAGCTTCAAACTTCTTTTTTCAGAGTTGACTTAGAGGATTTTTCAAAACAAGAATAGTATGCTTAATTGGAATTTGCTTTCTGTGTTTTCTGATATGCACAGGGTCAAAATTGTGCAGACACTCCTAAAACATTTGCTTAAACATTTAACAGAGATATATCAAGTACTGTGATAAAAAAAACAACTCAGTATTAGTTGAATTTTTCTGTTCCTAACCAATATTTTAGCCAACTAGGTTCTGCTTCTATATTAGTCCACCTGCATTGCAAAATGCACTACAGGCAATGAAACAGACCCTCAGCATGATGCAGCCGACCATGATGCTCGGTAATAATTTAAAGACCTGAAAGCCTCTCTTTAATTTGTCCAAAGATACAAATTAAGTAACTGTGTTTCGTCTGACTGTAAAGCTGTTCACCATGACCATGGTGAGCATATGTGAACTTCTAAACATACCTATCAATGGGACATGCACGGGTTTCACTGCAGGTGTCTTAAAAATGACTATCTTTCATAACACTTAAACAACAGCAATTTTTTTTAATTTCTATTATTTATTTCATATATTTAAGTACATTACTTACAATAAAAGTTTATCTATCAACAATGCATTTAAATTTCAAATAAGTGTCATATTTAGTGTACATTTATCATTCAGTGACACGTTTTAGCCAGGTGGGCCTGCAATACAGACGTCTCTTTAACCCTCTCCAGGCAGATGTTGCAGATTTGCAACAGCTAAATGCTGCTTAGCTAGTCTTTGCAAGTAATTTGAGCCTGAGAGGCTTAAATGAATAAAATTTAATGCAAGACAGGAGGTAGAAACAAATCTTGTTGCCTTTCCGAGTGTGTCTGTTTTTGTGTTTACTAGTGTAGATGCATACTTGCATGTTCCCAAAATGCGCCTTCACTGACATCGGTGTGTCCAGCTTAAAAATTCAGTCTGATATAAATGTGTTTATACACTTCTATAGTTGTTTGTTTCCTCATTTAATCATCTTTAAACAACCACTGCACAGCCAAAATGTAACAACACTGTGTGCATTCCAGATATTCATGATACATTTACTGCAAGAGCCTCTCAAAGCAGTTCACATCTGACAAGGATCTTCCTCCAGTAAGCCAAGGTCCAGAGGCCAGTGTGGAGCCACCTGGCAGGTGACTTTGTCCCTAACCTCAACTAACATTTCAAGTGGCTGCATCGAAGGTCCTGTGTGCAGGAGGAAAAACAGAATAAAGAAGCAAACATGCAGATAAAGACATTCAGAGCAATTGCTACTTAGTTACATGGACAGGCAGAATCAAATGCACAAGGTTCCCGCAGTATTGCAGCTGTAGCAAAAACATGCACCTCTTTGTGTGCATGTCACACGCACCATGGTACAATTCAACAACCACTGGAGTCATGTCTGTGGTGTCTCTGTAAGGAATGCTGGCTGCTTTGTTTAGGCGAACACTGTCAAATTGGTGAAAAATAACTTAAGATAAAGGGGGGGAAAGAATAAAATCAAGCTGATTTAGGATTTTCTTTGTAATAGCATTTGTCCTCAAGTGCAAACTCATTGGTACATCTTATGGTACATTATATAGAGGCTTCCAAAAGTATTCACACCCCATTTAATTTTTTTTTCGACATGATATTTCATGAATTTTCTGTGAATGTTTTGTGAAAGACCGAGACTAACTAGTGCATGATTGTGAAGTAGGAGGTAAACGATGCATGGTTTCCAAACTTTCTTACAAATAAAAATCTGAAAAATGTGTTGTACAATTATAGTCATATCCCTAATTAGAGTGCAGTTCAACACTCTTCAGAAGTCATTTGATAGGTGAATAGAGTCCAACATGAGTCAGCAATAAGTAGAGCTGAACAATATATTGTAAATTTATCATTATAGCAGCATCGCTGTTCACAAGAATGAGTTTGAAAGACAAAAACCTGGATCGCCTTCCAGTGCCATGCATTAAGGCTCTCCATGACAGTAGGTTTATTTGGTGTTGTCTGTTGTTTACAACAGAAGAAAATGTTTTAAGGGGGCATTAGGACGTTCTGGTAAAGTCATTAAGAAATGTCTGCTACTTGTTTATTTGCCAAAACAACACATCGAGGCCAATTTGTGATTTTTTTCTAAACATGTTTAATTTTGTTCCAGTAGCGTTATAGAGAATTTCTTATCTGTAATTTATTGTTTCTACGAGCCCAAGGCCAGAAAACCTTACCTAGCAGTTTATTTATCAACAATCAGTGAACATTATCTAAAGTTTTCTTAATATTATACACATACAGTATGTTCTGCTCTGCAAAGGGCTCAAAAATCGGGAGCTTCAGGAGGATTTCACAAATTCTCCCCATCCAGTTTGACTAAATTTGGAAGCTGCAATTTCAGTAATAGGTGGACCTACAAAGTGCTGACTTAGAGGCACTGAGAAATAGTGTACACTATTTTCTTCAGACTGTCATCTGAGGAAATAAGGATGATTGGAATCCAAGGTATGAATACTTTTGTGAGACACTGTATTCAGCTGACTGCTTTTGGTGGTATTTCTCGTCACTTGAGCAAAGTGGTCTAACAGCGATGTAGAAAAAAAGATGGGAAACATATTGGAACCCACAATGTTGCAAAAGAAGAAATGCAATTGTACTGGAAATGGTCATTCAACCTTGATCACTGTTCTCCTTGTTCGTAAAGAAAGCTGGAGCTCTGCGCTGATGTTCAGTCCATCAGAAGCTCCTCTGAAGCAAAGCCGTTTTCACAGCTGACCTCTGGAAATGGAGGCGACAAAGAGGAAAAGGGGGGAAGACTTTCGAAAAATAAATTCTGAATGTTTTCACTTTTGTCAAAATCGTGCTATCTTGTCTTCCTCTTTCCTCCTTCGCCCTCCTTTTCTCGTCACAGCGCAGACTCTGAATAGAGAGCTCCCGATGACCCATGAGGCGCGTGAGGCGCCATCAGTCGACGCAACGACGAAGTGGAGGAGCTCAGATCTCCGCAGCTGCGCAGGTGGATCCCTTCTGGCGCTCGACCGCTGTAGTGCCGGTTGTGCCTACTGTCGCTGTGGGAATGGTGATGTCCCCGGCAGTGAGGGTGACGGGAGTGAGTGTTGGGGTGTCCGCGGCTGGAGCTCCAAGGGGTCCGCGAGACCTGGAGGTAATTTAATAAAGCTGAAGATGAGCTGCAGGCTGGAGATGCTAAATAAGTGGTGAAAACGGATTGGAGTTTGGGTGTCATACTTGCTCAGAAGACAGGTGGTCAGAGCCAGCTGTCTCAACTCCACTTCTCCTCTTTGGCCCCTGACCTATGCTCCCAGCATGCTCAGAGGGTGGCCCCAGGTTACGTTTGGAGCGCTGCAAGAAGCGAGCCACCAGAACTCGGGTAACCTTAAAAAAAATTTATTAATTTAAAAAAACAAAAAAAAAAAAACAAGAAAAGTAATAATGTCAGAGCTTGGAGTTTTTGGTGTTTTTTTTTCTTCACTTTTGGTAAATAAGTGACACCTGATTTACCTTCAGGTCTCCCAGAGAGCGGTGGTAGTCTTTAGGTATACGTATAGGTGAGGTGGGTGCAGGTTTTGGGGGGATTTGCACACCTGTGGCTGCTGTCTTAATGCCACCTTTGCTTGGCATAGCAGAAGGAGGAGCCACAGAAGACCGAGGCAACAAACAAGCTTCGGAAGATGGAGCTTTGAAGTCAAAAAAAGGACAGAAATTGTAAGTATTATGTTCTACAACGAAAGTACGCACTCACCTTCATATTTATTAGGTACACCAGTTAAATTGCTTGTTAAGGCAATTAGTGAAACAACCAATAATATAGCTGTGACTCAGTGCATTAAGGCTAATAGACATGGTGAAGAGAGTATTTTTCTAGTTATTTTTCAAAAACTCTTATGATTTTATTTCCTAAGCAGTGGAAAAGTTCTTACTGGAAAATTTATACAAATTTCATGCATTGCCAAATTATGCCAAAAGATTTGTCTCTTCCCTCAACTTTAAGACAGTGTGTCTCATACATGATCTTTTTTAACTTATAGTCAGGGAGGAATCCTAAGCAGTGGTAAGAAGAGATTATGAAGAGATTAAGAAGAGTGTCTGTTTCTGCAAAGTGTTTCTGTAAGATCAGTAAATTTACAAAAGCAAAGTCAACCTAACAAGTCAACTTAACAAGTTAAGTTCACTTTGACTTGTTATGATTCAAAGTGAACATGAGAGACTTTAGATGTTGCGTGGTTGTTGACACCAGATAGACTGGTCTGAGTGTTTCAGAAACTGAGGGATTAGGAGTTTCCCTCAAAACCATCAGAAAATTGTCTGAAAAAGAAAAAAAAACAACAACCATTGGGCAGGACATGCATGGAGAAAAAGAGTCTTGTTGGTATCAGACTTCTAAGAAAAATGGGAAGATATAGCTGCAGAAGACCACACTAGTTGCCACTATTGTTAGCTCAGAACAGGAAACCGAGGCTGTAATTCACATAAGCTCACAGACATCAGATAATAACAGATTGAAAAACCATTCTCTAGTCTGATGAGTCTCAACTTCAGCTGTGACATTCAGTTGGTGGAGTCAGAATTTACCATAAATAACATGAAAGCATGGATCCATCTCATGTTACCACGGTCAAATCATCTCAACCTGCTTTGAACATGACTATGACTGTACTCCAGTGACCTCCACGGCCACCAGAACCTGATCCAATAGGTCACCTTTAGGATGTGGTAGAACAGGAGATTTTTCTCTAGATATAAGCTCTCACCTGTGTCTGTAGATGCCTTGCTGCCTCCGGACCCAAAGTCAACTGGAACAAAAAAAGGGGGGGAAAAAAAAGCATATATTTGTCATCACTGTAAAACTGGAGTAAATGTTTTCTTATTAATCCTGGCCTCACCTGTGTCTGTTGAAGAGCCGAGGCCTGGCTCACTGTGCGACCTCACAAGGCGTAAAAAGCCTTCACTCTGTCTTCTAACAGTCCCTCCGTGTTTGTCACTTCTCTCAGCCCTTTGTCGAAGGTAAAGGGCCCCGTGAGGAGGGAGCAGTCCGTTCCCGTGCTCACAGGCTGCTGAGGAAGATGGTGGAGGGGGAACAGATGAGGCCGGGGCAGCTTCCTGGTTTGAGGGGTCGGTGAGATTCACCTGAATCTCTGGGATGAAACGCTGCTGTTGACTTGGAGAGTTTCCTATTGCTTCCAGCTGGGAACAGCTGCTAGCTAACACAGCCTGGCGGTGCAGCACAGGAGACCTGGAAAGCAGACTGAGAGAGTTAAAAATTTCTCCTCAAAACTCAGGAGGAATTTGAACCTTTTTGAGCTTTTTCTCACCTGTATGTATTGGTAGCTGTGCTAGGCGAGGAGCAGGAATTAGACCTTTCCCCTCTGAGGAACCGTCTTGCCCTCGGACCTCCTGCCAGCGGACTCTCTGGTGTTTGACACTGTGGACCACGGAAGAAGCCGTCGCTCCTGTCAGCACAGGGCCTGTTGCCCCCATGGCTCCTTATCCCAACCTCCATCAAACATGAGTCTTCAGAGGGGGAGGAATCATCAGGGATGTCCACAATCTCTGACATTAACAGAGAACCGCTATCCATAGATACTAACAAGAAAAAAAATATGATTTTCATTATTATTCAGGAAAGCCCTTGAATGTTCAGTCCAGTTTTACAATATTAAACATGCCATTTTGTTTGACATTTCTTACCAATTCCCCAAATGTATCACTGCAGATTTCATCTAAATCTTCACATTCATTTTTGAGTGGTGAAATATTAAATAATTTAGCACTAAATGTTTTTCTAAATATTAATAACCATCATCTTAAATAACATTCCCAATTAAGAAAAAAAACTTTAAATGCCTGTCATGGTTTTTACTATTACTGAAGCAACTTTATGCTTTTAAAAAAAATTTTTTTACCTTAACCACAAGTAATAATATAGCTCACAATTCCAACTCGATTTACCTATGTTCTACACACTTGACACAACATGACAGACAGACATGGATGGACTGTTTTTGCACCTTCTCCGCTAAAGGCTGTAGAGGTCCCTCTCTCTCCAGACAGCTCAGTACCATGGGCGTCAAACACTGTTGCCTTGGCAATCACAAGAGACCAGGATCAGGACAATATTACACAAAATGAAGAAAAATGCTGCAGAGTGACATATAAAAGTTTAGCACTGTGCAGTCACATCTCTGTTATTCTGAATATTTAAATGTACCATTTTCCAAAAAGCTAATGCATAAAACATTATTTTAATTGAGCAAAACTATTATTATTTTGACTTCATTTGTGAAATTCAGTCTCACATAATTGCCATCACAATTTTTTTGTCTTATGAGCTTTTTTTGGGTGGGGGTAGGGAGGAGTTTTTGTTCATCTTAATCGGTATAACAGGAAAATGGATTATCATTCATTTCTAAAACTAAATCTAAACAGGCAAAATCCAATTACTCCCACTCTTTAGTCGTAAGCCATTGGTTTCTGCATGTTTAAACCAGGGAGTTTGTAGTTCCCAACATTTTTGTCTTGTAGGTATTTGTATAACTTACTGGACACTTTCAGGAAGTGGGTTTTATAAGGATGTAACTTAAAATGTATTTTCAAGGACCTTACATGGCACTTTCCCATATTTTAGGAAAGTACATTGCAGGTTCAGGAAAGTAAATACTATTTTTTAAAAGTCCCAAATAAGTTCCTGAAGTTGCCTTACAAGTTCTTGCAAAGTGACAAATAGATTCCAGGGAAGATCCTGTGAAGTCCTCAGTAAATTACAAGAAAATTGTCTAATAAATCTAATCAAGTACCTGATACATTCCTAGAAAAAGTAACCAGCATGCTCAAAAAAAGTTCTGGGAAATACTCGGTAAGTTCCATGGGAGTATCTTGTAATTAATAGCAATGTACCTGGTAAGACTTTGAGCAAATGTCTTTGAGAAAATGTCTGATGGTACACAGAGGCTCACCTGGCTTGCAGCTCTTTGGCCCATTACAGCTTCATAGGGAGGAGGGCAGTCAGTGGGGTACAAAGGGACAGGACTCTCCATGGAGCCATTATACGTGATGCTGGATGTTGACGCAAACATGTTAATCATTCTTTAAAAGTGTGTGTTATATAATAAACACAATGGCTACTACATAACACACAGATTAATAATATCACAAAAGTACTGTAGCACCTCTGAGCATCTGTCTCTGAGCTGCAGGTGTATTCAGGGGGATAGTAGGGAGGAGGAGGAATTGGGGGGACAAACTCCTCAAAGTCCATGATGTTGGTCAGGAAGGCGTCTTGCGGAGTGGTGCATTCTGGGTTGACTGAGCGGGAGCGATGAGGGGCAAGCTGAGCGGTAACCACAAAGGATGCATTAAGGTTTGTTTGTGTTTAAAACTGATACCTTGAATTCTAGATGCGACTCTGCTGCATCGTAAAAAAAGCCGATCGGCCACTTAAATGAAATGTGCTGCGTCGGCACTCACCAGGTGCACGAGATCCAAGGAGAATATGTGGATACTGCAAGTCACAGTGGACAGCGTACAAATGATGGTGGAGAGAATGCTGAGACCACACGCACTGAACAGGAGGTCCTGCACAAAGAAGGCATTCACAAAAAACTCAACTCAAGCATTTTTTTTTGGTAATTCATCTGCAACATAACATTTAAAATGTAACACTTTATGCTGATTGATAAAGATGTGTAAATACCCCTAAACAAATAATTTGTAGTAAACACAGAAAATGCTTTATAAATTCAATGACTAAACAAAATGTACTTGTTAAAGAATGTTAAAAAGACACTTTTTAAACTTCCCTACTGAGTAATCCATGTCTTCCTGTTTCCATAGGATATTGTTATGATGGACATTATGCATAGGATCATTTCTCTCAGTCAAGATTAAAAATTGGAAAGGCAAGAGAGCATGAAATTACAATTATGTTACCAAAAAATGACTTGTCTATATAGTCAGTGAGAATAACAAATAAGTTTGAAACAAAAATTGTGATAAGCAAAACTGCACCAAGACGGGGAAAAATGATTTCTTCCCCAACGTCTCGAAAGCGAGATGTTGTTAAACCTATATACTCCCAGTTTAACAGATCCTGTTAAACTGGGAGTTCATTCCTGCCTCATTCTTAATGCATCTGCTTGAAAGGTCGGAGGAAACCGTGATCGACTGGTTTGAAACATTATGAGACAGAGCATAAAAATCACTCTTGGGTGAGCAGAAAGCCAAGAGAGCACAGAAGAGGCTCCGATATTCCGGATGATCTAGAGAAAGAGTGAGAAAATATCTCTCACTATGAGGTCCGAAATTTTTATATATTATATAAGACTAAGCGCAGTCTATTTTTATGCTGGAATAAATATTTTTATTTTAAGCTTGTCTTCCCACACTTTTGCCAGGAATAAATGTGCAGAGTGCAGTGCTTACCTTTAACTGATGTTTGACTGAGTGACAGTCACCATTCAGGGACAGAACCAGGGTATCCTCATCTGCCATGGAGCAGGCTTGAGTGCCTGCACAGCACACACAGAGACCATTCTCCACCTAAACACATTATCATACAGAGTGAATCACAGTGAAGCACCGGTTGGAGCTCTTTCACATTATTGAAATTATTCCTGGCTCATTCTTAATGCATCTGCTTGGAAGGACATTTCAGCACCAGAAAGGCTACGGGGACAAGACAGCAGTTCAGACATACCTGGCAGTTGAGCATTGACTTGACCATCTGTGCGTTCTGACAGGAGAGCATAGAGCCGGCCAGGCTGAGGATCACACACACTGCAGACAGCAACATGAACAGTGACACCTGTGGAGGGATGCAGAGGTCATGCTTATAAAAACTGTCTGCAACCAGGCAAGGAGAGCAGATGACGTTAAAGGACACAGAAGCAGATTTCACTGTTTGTATTACAAAGAGGATGAAACAGTCAGTGGAAAGGTAAAGAAAGAAAATGTCCTGAAGGTTTGTAGTAAGGCTTTGTAGTTTCAATATTATGAAGCTTAAACTGGCACTTTGGTAGAGCATTCTACTAAAACATTATGCATTTCAAATCATTGTGATGGTTTCATTTTTTTTTTTTTTTTCTCCGAAGAGTTTTTTGCGGCGCTAGTGGCTCGTATATTTGACAGTAGGCAGACAGGAAAGAGGGCGAGGAGAGGGGGGAAGACATGCGGCAGAGGTTGCCGGGACCGGGAATCGAATCCGCGACGTCCGCGTGGGGTGTGCTGTGTGGCGCAGGGGTTAGCACGCCCCATGTTTGAAACAAAAATTGCATTTCTATGTGGAATTAATCATCCTGCACAGTGAATGAATTAATTGTGCAGCATATTTAAAGCTGCAGTATGTAGCTCAGCTTTTATGAAATATGCTTTTTTTAAAATTAAAATTAGCATTATGCCATGACAGTATAAGTCAGATAATATATAAGAAAAATTGAGCCTCTCTGCCTTCTTAAAGTGGTAGATACCGAAACACACCATTCATTCAGAAACAATCAGGGGGAGGGTCTTAGCGCTGTCAATCACTCCTATGCTCACCCGAAAAGTCTTTGTAGAATTTTCCTGTATTTTCCTAAAAACATGATTGTCCTTTAATTAGCTCAATCTTTTTTCAGTCCACTCTGACAAGCTTACTTGTTCCTATGCTGCCTCATTCATTCTCACATAACAATTTACAAATCATAATATTTTCTCTGTCAACACACAAACACATACACAGACACACAGGATCTATATTGCTTCTCTGATCATGTTCTCCTTTGGATGCTTGTAATGTGACAAAATGGGAAATACTCCCAGATGTTTGAATACTCTTTTTCCCCCAGTTATGATTAAAAGTTGTTAAAATGCAGTGAAAAACATACCACCAGTGTTAGAGGTCTTCTCCATGAGATTATTCCCACTATCCCTGATGCCACCACCTGGTGACAAATGCATACATAAAACACACACAACTTACAGTCAGCCTGGTTTTCTTTAACAAGCTTTGGCTACAGTCATACTCACAAAGAAGCCAGCCCAGAATGGACAGGACTGCCGGACGCGTGCGGATGAGGTGAAGGCCATGCTGGTGAAAGAGAAGGCCAGAACCATGGCTCCCAGCCCCAGGTGGCACAAACCCAGGTAAAGCAGCAGACGGGCCCCACCGGGCCCCCTGCCTGACATGCCTCTGCGACTGTCAGACCAACCGCGAGATCCAGAGGCTGAAGCCACACTGCTGGAGTCTGAAGGTGAGGGCATGGTTGGCTTGTCTAGGGGTGCGCGCGTGTGTGTGTGTGTGTGTGTGTGTGTGTGTGTGTGTGTGTGTGTGTGTGTGTGTGTGTGTGTGTGGGTGTGTGTGTGTGTGTGTGTGGAGGATGTGAAGATGTTTACTTGTGCACTGAGTTCATATCACAAATTGTGCAGGCAGAAACACAGAAGAGTAGAAGAGGAATTGGTGTAAATGCTGGCATGACTGTGTTACAATTCATGCATCAAGCTGACCCCCTGGCAGGTGCGATGGTTCCTGCGTAATGTCCAGACCGGTCAGCGAGTCCAAGAACTTGATCAGCAGAAAGCTGAGAGTCGAGCAGCTCTCTACACAACAACAGCACTCACCCCACTTGACGTTTGAGCTCTGCTGCTGCTGCTGCTGAGACAGTTCGAGTCGACGCAGCGGAGTCTCAGTCCATGCAGCGCAGAGTACACCTTGTGCCACTTTCCTGTTCAGTCCGAGTAAAAACACAACTTTAAAGCCGGGTAAAACATCGACTCGGCTCGTTTTAAATCCTCCCTTTTCGCATCATTTGCTGCCTGCAGACGCGTCCTCCTCTTCCTCCCCGCCGGCTCGCAGCCTCTCCCTCATCTCGGCCCGTGTGGCATTGCGGTATAACCGGAGCCCCGCGCAGGCCGCAGGTTCTCGAACCGTCCCAAAGAAAGCGGCCAACGATCGCTCGCTGTTTTGCGCTCCGTGCAGCAAAGGCGACATGCGTGCGCTCGGTCATGAGAAAAGACGTCCCCACATGTGCGCTCCCGACCTGGCGACCTTACAGTTCGTCATCCTACAGGAGGAAACACCAGTAAAGGGAGGAGAAGATGATATCGGTCCGTCCGGGGAGCAGCGGCTTATTATGGCGACCTATAGGGATGAAGTCTTAAAATAGCAGCCAGGTGGATCAGATGATGTACCGGATGAAATAATAATAATAATTAAGAACTTAATTTCTGAGCTTTTGCTATGGTCCACCAAGATCCCATCTTTCTCCTCCTCCTCCGCTTCTTTCCTCCCTGCAGTCACGCGGGCATCCCGTACAGTCCGTGTGTTAGTGTGAGCGTGTGTTTCTCTCTCTCTGCGTGTGCGAGTGTGTGTTTACCTCTCCGCCTCCCACCAAGCCTCACACAGCCGTCACTTATAGATCAGGCACATGTGTGGTATCTCTCCATGTTCACCTTTATTGACCCCTCTTCGTTCTTTCTGCGTCCCTCTTCCGACACTCGGGCGAATAATAGTGTTTGCAAACCGAAAAGCTGCTCCGCATGCGTGATGACACGGCACGCCGAACGTGCAGACAGCTCGGGAGATGCGGCAGCTCGCGCGAGCACAGCCATAAAGGTGGTGCTGATGCTGGGGAGGAGGCGTGGGTGCCATGGCGACAGAATCCGGCACCTTCTGCAGTAAAACGAACGAGCAGCAGTGAGCCGGTCCTTCATGAAAGGCCTGTATTGCAGGCAGCCCTTTAAGAGTTGAACATAATGTTTGCTTCAATAGATTCAGATTTTAGGCACTTAAAAACAAAACAGACAAATACTGCATAAAAAATTTATTGTTTTTTTAAGACTCTTTCCTTAAAAAATGTCTTTCAACTTTCTTCATAGTTGTAAGATTGATTGGACTCCACTCTACATTATGCCATTAAGAGTTTAAAATGCGCACATTTTCTTTCACCAGCCTTTTTCTGTCTATTATTAGCAACCAATGCATATTTAACCATCAACTTTATCTGTTATAATCACACATGTCCATTTTGATGAAATTTTATGTGATGGATCAACACAACGCCACACTGATGTCACTGTGAACTGGAAAAGGATGCATTGTTCACAACATAATTTACAATCGAAACTCAGCAATGTCATTAAACTGGACAGAGACCCTTTTTTCCAAAAATAAATTCCAATTCTTGCCACATAATTTCAACTGAATTTAGTCCTGGATTGGATTCCAGCTCTGCCTGAATATTTAGGATTGTTGGTACAGCTTTTTGCAATCTCCTTCTAGATTGACCTGCAACAGCAAAGCCTGTTGGTGATATCAGGCTGTGGGAATATTCGCCTGCTGGAGAAAACATATTGGCATTAAGTCCCTATTGAAAGTAAGATGACAGCAACTGGATATAGAGAGATTCTTCAAAAAATCTCTCGGGCGCTCTGGACCCCAGACGACATTGCCAACACAATGACCTGGAGCACATAGACAACAAAAGAGGGCCTTCAAAAGCAGTCAGCATGCTTGAATGGCTCAAATAGAGCATTGACTGAGATTCAAGACCAAAAGAATTACGGTCTCACAGGTTCCCATCCAGTCTGACTGGGAGTGAATGCAGAGAACAAAAGAAAATACCTCAAAACGTGTGTAAAGATTGTAGAGACATTTAGAGGAAGACTTTATGTAACTGCTCTTAAAGGTATTTCCACAAAGTATTAAGAATGTGCAAATACTTAAAGCTCTTAGTTAAATGTTTGCTTTTTAAAAATATATGTATATTTATAAGGCATTTCTGCCACATTATCACTTTCTTTTATGGTATATTTTGTTTAGCTTTATTTTTTTTTTAGAAAAACAAAATGTAGAAAAAAAATGAATGGTGGTAAACAATTTCGGCGCCGTAAAACATTTCTGTTGGCTTTGAAAGCACCTTAAACCTTGACCTTTCTATTCCATTTAAGATCAAATAATAAACTATATTTTACACAATATGTACAAGAACGTAATCACATTTCATGATGAAGCAATTAAAAACAATCACAACCAGGAGCACATTTATAGTAGTTGACTTTTATTAATAAAGAATAGGGTCTGTAAAGGCCTTACAATGGCAGATGCAAAACAATAAAAGTGTAACAAATATGACAATTTTTTTGCAAATAAAAATCTGGTTTTCAAGAGCTCTGGTCTGTAAGCAGAAAACAAAGCTGCCATGATTAACACCTGCAGTGGGAATGAGTTTCAGCATTTGAAAAACTGCATGAGCTCGGAGACAGTCACGTCTGATGAAGCTAATGTGCGGTAAGGTTCAGGCACTTCAGATAAAAGGCAAGCCCAATTCAATCAATTCAGTGCGAGAGGCATGCATGCTCTGCTGTTTCCTCATCTCTCACATCCCGTCCTTTTACTTACGAACACCCATCCTTCCTCCATCTCTTCCCTCAGCTTCTCAGATTGCACTTCTGGATCTCTGCTTGATGTTGTCTACATTCCTCATCCAGCTGGTAAATCAAGGATTGTTTGACAAATGGCTTGTTTAGATCCCATTTGTGGGATTCATTATTATAGAGAGATATTTAAAAAATTCTCTAGAGGAGGAAAACAGGACGTCATCAGGAGCTTTAACATTTAATGACACACTCTTGTTGACTGTTAAATGGAGCAGATGACTTGTCCTGTCATCTACTTTTCAGGGAGTAAACAATGCCAACTTGGGAATCCTTAATAGTTATACAATGTATTTGCATGACACATTTATAGAAAACAAAATGTCAGAATGTCAAGAATTTCCTAGTTATCTCTGGGACTTCAATGACAAATTTAAGACATTTTTCCTCCTCACGTTGGAATGATTACAACCCACATTTTAAAACAAGAACAGGAGACCTCATATATATATATGAATGTAAACTTTTCCCATGATTCTTGTTCTTAGAAATTATGAAATTTTTGGGGTGTTTTTTTTCCACCCCGTCCCCCAAAAAATGAATGATTTCAATAAATCGCTGAAAGTCAAATGTACAGCCATTTATAAGCATTATTTATATATTTATGTAAAATCTGACCAAAAACTAAACCAATAACTAAAGACATTTCTATTCTAATCATCTGCTCCAACATTTAAAATACCTAAACATATTTGACTGGAATTTGGGCACTTGGACCTTAACATAAAATGGTAGAAAATCATTTTAAAAAGTCTTTGATCTGAAATGTTTTAATTTTCAGGAAATATAAACTCCTGAAAGCTGCTACAGCATGTGCTCAGATGAATAAATGATAATATTACAACAGTGCCAGTGCAGGAATTATAATGAGTGTGGAAATAAGCTACCAAGAATTAGATTGGACACATGGAACATGTTGAGTTCAGGCATTTGGACACTTTCAGCATGTTTTTGAGGCAACAATCACAAAAACAAAATGTCTCGGAATAATAAATTAATCTGGGCACGCTAAAATTCTTGTGGACTAAACAACAGTTTGGATATAAAAACAGACAAACTCTCAGCACTTGAACGTATTGGACCAGTTTTGGCCAGCAGATGGAGACAGAAAGCCTTTGCATTTTTCCACGGTGCTCTTAAACGTCTGTGGCATATATATGTCACTTCTAGAGAATGGCACACTTTGAGGGCGGTTTCTCTGTACTGCTGGTGATTTTCACCTCTTTTCCCGCTGAACCCTGTTCACCAACGACAAAAGGGGCAAAATGTCACAAACACGTTCTCTTACTTATTCTTAGGAAATACATTTATAAACAACAACAAGAAAGAACGGACATACCGGCTTCTTGGTGGATTTATGCAGTATGTCTCGTGCCAAAGCTAGAAAAGACTGCATCGCAGACGAATTGGATCACAGAAGCAGAGAAAATAAGATTGAACCTTTGTAGCACATTAACAGCATTTACACAGAACAAGCCCAAAGGTTCAGTGAGGTGTCCAGTTATGGTGGATTCATTGTGGCTCACCTCTTCCACATTAATGCTGGACTTTGCACTGGTCTCGAAGAACCTGATGCCGTGACTCTTTGCCAGCTGTCAACATTGGAGTAAAGAATATGACTCACAACCTGAAACATCCTGGTTCTTATCTAAAGCAACTTTAAAGCCGTTAGACAAGCTTGGTCAACAGTTCTTTACGTACATCGTGCTTGACATGTTTAGTCTGGTCCAATTTTTTTTTTTTTTTGTACAAAATACTGAAAATGTATCATCTTATGCGTGTTGCTTTGAGTCACATACAATCCCAACAACAAACAAATGCTTTAAGAGTTGAAATACACATACAAACCAACTGACAAACATCAAAATTTATGTAGTAGACATTCATTATATAGTGACATCAGTTTCTTCACCTGCTCTCCCGTCTCTTTGGACACTTTCCGTTTTGGCTCAATGTCGCATTTATTTCCTATAAGCATCTGACTGACCCCAGCAGATGCATTCTGTGAAACAGGGGATGCGGTTATCGGATTAGAAGAGGTCAGCTGAAAATAAACAATTAATCACAACAACATGGCAATAAAAAAATTAAAAAAAAAGCGAGAATGATGTGATTTAACATCAGATTATCTGCTGCAGAGTAAACTCAGAGCATGCTCAGTTCTCCTGTTAAATGCCAGCTGTAAAGTTATTCTTTTTATGAAATACAAATGTATCATTTTAATCCAAACAAGCAACAGCGTTGGTTGTTGTAACCAATACCTTTTATTGCAACTTCATAAATCAGCATGACTTGTTCCCTAACTGTTTGGACAATCTTTTGTTTGGCTCCAGTATTAAATTTTGTGGTGAGGGTGGAGGAAAGAGTCTCTTCTGATAGTACAGTACGCACAGTGCATTGTTGTGTAAGTAAATGCCACTCAGACCTATAAATCTTCTTGAGGTTTACAAAGCAAGACTTTTGATTTTGATTTTCTTGAATTTTAATTAAGAAGACTTTGCGTCGTCTTCTCAGTTTAAGTCAACCCCCGTCCCAGTTACAGTCACCTTTTCACTTATTTTGAAAAAAACTATTAACTTTCAAGTGCACTGTGATAACTGCTCAGAGAAGCTACTTTAAGTTGACTATTGTGACAAGATTTGAAGCTTCAGGCCAAAATTTGCAAACAAGTATCTGGTTTACCAAACAAATTAAAGAGATAGTTCAGTTTTTTTTTTTTTTTTTTGGAAGATTGTTTTTGTTTTTGTGTTTTAAGCAGTGAACATTTTGTCTGGAATAACTCTCCTTCAAATTTCACAGAGTGTGAAAAAAATTCTAAGTTATAAAAATATATTTGCCAGGCATTGTAGCTTACACTGAAATGTTTATCACACATATGTACTGTATAGTATGTAGTTCGTCTGGCTGGATATTGTTCAATATATGCTTGGTTTTTGTGCACGCTTTAAATAAGATGGTCATTGTTACCGCCTACAGATCCACCATTTCTTCTATGTAAAGAGTCTTTAGTGTAAATTTGGAGGCAGCAAAAAAAGACTAAAACATTATTTTAGAATAAACTGCTATACAATTTTTGGAACTAGACTTTAACATGCAAAAGTTTGGTTTATTTTGGCCTCACTGTTATATTAAGTCAGACTATGTTTTAAGTATCATCTTTAACTGTAACTTTCTACTTGCAACATGCTGATGAATTCCCACTCTAAATTTTGTAATGAAAAATACAGGAATTATTACCCTAAATTTATAGTAACAGAGTTTTTCTGTGCAGAAATTAAAACGTTGTTTTCAATGAAGCTGGTTTGTGGTGAATTTACTTCCTTATTCTTTACTGCAATTTGGCCATGAATTAGAAACTTACATGCCATAAAAAAGAAGTTAATAATGCACAGTGTACTTTTCTCTGTAGTTTTAAAGGTTTTGAAAGTCTGTTTTCCTGTAATAATAAATTTGTTGGAATCAGAATAATTTCTGATAATAAAAAGTTATGAAGGAGCAACAGTTACAACATCTAGTCTCATGGAAATGGAAACAGCCTCACTTCCTTGATGCTCTTCATCCAGTTTTGGATGTTTTCAAAGGATTTCTCATCAGTGATGTCGTAAACCAAGATGATGCCCTGGCAGAAGAGTGACATTTCAAGTGTTTAACCACAACATACAAAATGAGCACAAAGAGAAGACGTGCAGCACGTTATCAAGCTGCAGCTTCTATAGGTGTGCGGTCCTCACCATGGCTCCCCTGTAGTAGGCAGTAGTGATGGTCTTGAACCTCTCCTGTCCTGCTGTGTCCCTGCACCAATTAATCGAAGCATTTCAAGTCAGAAACATACATGTGCAGGACTCATAAAAATATATATTTTTTAAAAAGTTGCATTCAAAGTGAGTCGTACATCTTAACAATGTATATTTTTATTGACTTCAACACATCGCAAAACAAATAAACACCTGAGTGACACCTCTTACCAGACCTGTAGTTTCACTTTCTTTCCATCCACTTCAATTGTTTTTACTTTAAAGTCAATGCCTGGGGGATAAAGGAAAAGAGGACAGGAAAAGGCAAAATGAGCAATATACCCCTGATAGCGAGTCAAACATGCACACACTGCACACAATATTGGTCATTTCCACCGTGTGCACTCCCATCCACAAGCAAGCATGAATTGTTCTTTTCCTTTGAGGATGGACAAGCTGACAGACAGCAGGGAGGGGGCTGTCCAGCACTAAACTCTGCATGCCAGAAATCCAGCAGCTCTTTCGGGAATGCAGCGATGGTAAAAGAGATAGGAATGAGGGTGGGTGGACCTTCAGAGACAGCAGTGAGATCAGAAAAGGGAGAGATAGAGGGGAAAAAGGAGGCTGCTCATTAAGTAAGAACATGAAAAAAAAGTAGTTCCACAGAATAAACACTGGAATTCATTTTAGGTTTCTATATAAAAGTAATATTTAACTAACTAGTTCCATTAAAGGACATCATAAGTTTCATTAAAGCTATCAGAAAGTTCTTTATCCTTTTAAATTAAAGTTAAATGAAAATATCTGGTCGGTTCCATGAAGGTTACATCAGAGTTAAGTTCCCTAGAAGTTTAATGAAAATGCCTAATGAGCACCATTAAATTTCCATATAAAAAACCCCCAACAACATGACAAGTCCTTTTAAAGTTTAGGTTGGTTCTATGACAGTTCTGTGAAGTACCTGGTAAAATCCATGAAGGATTTTACCAGGTATTTGTTAAGTTCATTGTCAGTACCTGGTAAGGTCTATGGATATTCAACAAAGTTCCTGCTAAGGAAGGTTTGTTCCAACTTACCAAGTCATGAAAGTGACTTGGTAAGTTGTCAATGCTCACTTAACTCTATATGATGATTCAATGCAAGTACCTGATGAGTTCATTGAAAGTCCTATTAAGGTTTCAGGTATGTTTCATACAACCACCAAGTAGGTTTCACTACAGTTCAATAAAACCAACTGGTAAGTTCTGTGAAAATTCAATGACAGTACCTAGCAAGTTTCATGGATGTTACAGATTACATGGTAAACTACTTGTGTTCCAGATTCCAGAAAAAGTACTGGGTATGTTCCATGAGGGTACCGAGCAAGTTCTATGCAATACAGCTCAAGGAAAGTTCAATTAAAGTGCCAAATAACAGACAGAACCTGCAGAGTTGAAAGAAGTTTTATGAATGCAGCTGGTATATTTCAAGGTTCCAGGAAGGTTCCATTGAACCCTGAGCAAGTTCTGGAAAGTAACACATGCAGGTCCTGAAAAGTGAGCTCTAAGCTCAGATATGGGATGCAACATGGAGTGGTATAAAAAAAAAAGGAAGAAAAAAAAAAACTGAAGAAAAGAAGAAGAAAATATGAGAAAGAAAATAGAGACTAGTTGAGACATGAAAAGTAGTCTGAGAAACCCGTTTGCACAGTGTTCGGAATCAAACAACGGATCATGAAATGTCAGCAAACATTTATTCAGCTCATAACTCAAGTTTCAGAGCGCTGGCGCAGATAGGCTGCAGTTAAGTAAACATTATTCTCACGTACCGATGGTGGAGATGTATGTGGAGTTGAAATTGTCCTCAGCAAAACGGATGATGAGGCACGTTTTACCCACTCCGCTGTCCCCGATCAACAGCAGTTTAAAGAGGAAATCGTATTTTTTCGCCATGTCTGAAGCCCAGATAGAAGGAAGAAAAGGAGGAGGAGGTTTAAGGAGTCTCTAAAAAAAAGTTTAAAAACGTCCTTTTTTGTTGTTGTTCTTTGAGTTTTGCCAATCGTTTTTCCCCTCCCAGCCTGTTCACCGGTAAATTCCGATCCCCCCCTCAGTGCCTCGGTGCTTAGTTTGGACCGGGCGACGCAACAAACTCCATCCAAAGTTTACAACGCAGGTTTAAGCTCGAACCTTCATCGCCTGCGCTCTCAAAACTCCATTCTTCTGCACTAAAAGTATCAAAAATCCTGCCGTTTACAAACACACTGGAAACTCTGCGTGGTTTTCAGGCTGTTGGGGGGGAGAAGAAAACTCGGCCCAAATTCCACTTTGGCTGGGAGAATTACGTAGAGTGGGAGTGATTTATGGGAGTGACCAACTTTCACTGGCCGGACGGTAGATGGCGCCACTTGAATAGAACTTCTGTTTGTTCCTGGAATAACAAGGCAGATAATGACAACGTTACAAGTTTCACACTGCGAGGTTTTCCAGTCAAAGATAAACCATTAGAAACATGAAATTGTTTCGCAAAAAAAAATATTTTTTTAACATTGCGAGGAATGGTGATAAAATATGTCCAATTGTCCACTGACAACATTTGTACCGTGTCCTAATTTTTTTCATGAGAGTTTGCTGCTCGGGTCTGACAGCAAAACTTCAATGTAGGACTCACAAATGATTTAGGCTATTACATGGACAGCAGCAGGTTAACATGTTGAGAAAGTTTCAAGAAAGACTTTTCCCAGAGAGAGTCATAGAGAATGTATGACAACAAAAATAAATGAACTAATACAAAAAGGAAAAACAAACTTAAAAGGCTTGTAGGCAGAAACATCATATCCAAGTACTTAATCCTATTTTCCTGAAGACAAGAAAATACTTATTCTGCAGAAAGACATTTTTCCAGGGCTCATAAAACTTGTTCTATACAGTCTTTATATTCACTGGAATTAAACATCTGAAGTCCTCAATAACACAGCGCCCCCTGCAGGTAACAAGAACCGACTCGCTTTCTGCTGAAACCTTGTTGTGAATTATATTTATTTTACTAAATGAAATAAATCAAGAATGATAAAGAATAATAATTTTTTCTTTTCTACTTAATACTATAAATTGCTTATTGTTTAATTTTTTTCTGTCGCTTCTTTTTCGGGAAAATCTTACTAGATAGTAAAAAAAAAAAAAAAAAAAAAAAAAAAACTTTCGTAACATAGACTATTATTAACATTAATGTTCCCAATTTTCTATACCTGTTTGACGTAATAAATAAATAAATAAATAAAATGTTAGGTTGACTGTAATCATGTTCTCTTTTTCCTCCCATCAGCCAGCAGCTTCCGGTACGTGACCAACGTGAGTTTTTCTCTTTTCCTCTCAGCAGAGAGAAACACGCAGACATGCCCGTAAGTAAAAAATACGGTTTGTAAAGTTATTTTCACGATACAAAGAGCCGTCTTACCGTGTAGGAAGACGGCGCTGGGGTTGACATTTGTGCTTTTTCGTGATTTGGTTGGTTGTTTCGTGTTGCTTTAATGTAAATGTGGAAACGTGAAGCGAGGCAATATGGCGAGAACACGTGTCGGAGGGAGAAACAACACGATGGGTTAAAACACGTCTAAAACTCTAATCCAATGCGTTTTAACTCAAATTTAGGCAGAAAAGGGTTAAACTGGTTCTGTGGTTTAATACGAAAGCCCCATCATGGTTTGTTTGGTCACATATATATATTTAAAAAAAACATGTTTTTACATTTTAGAAATAAAAACTGAGATAGCTATAGGTTTATTTTTATTCAAAGTTATTTACTGCTGTAACCTTTATTTATTTCTGCTTTACTTCTCTCATGGTTCCTTAAAGTGAAACCTATATTCTGGTCACAGTCTTTGCCTTTGTGTAATCATGTTATGAAAGCTATTTCCTGTACTTTTCAACTTGTTATCAAATCATTTAAGAAATATCAGGATTGCTGTTGCTTTGTAAGTAATTTCTGGTGTGAATTTTTAACAATTTCTCCTGTCTTTTTCCCAGCTTGCAAAAGATTTGTTGCACCCCACTCCTGAGGAGGAAAAGAGGAGACACAAGAAGAAACGGCTTGTGCAGAGTCCCAACTCCTACTTCATGGATGTCAAATGTCCAGGTGTGCATCAATCTGTTGTCTAAAATAAATGTATTTAATAATACAAATACATTTTGCCTTTATGTGTTGCCCTTTCTCTGAACCTGTAGTGATCGGGGTGTCAAAAAAGGCAGAAAGTGACTTTTGCGGTTGTTTACGAACGAGATTTCACTTGACTCGTTTGCACAAACAGCTGCATGGACACTAGTAGTCAGCCATTACCTTCTTTCTGTTATGTGTTTCTTAGTGGTTTTACTTTTCGTGCATTTTGCAGGTTGCTACAAGATCACCACAGTATTCAGCCACGCTCAGACGGTAGTGCTTTGTGTCGGCTGCTCCACAGTTCTTTGCCAGCCGACGGGAGGAAAAGCTCGCCTGACAGAAGGTAGAGAAACCACCAGAAGCTCTGCTTCTGGGAAATCCCCTTCATGTTACAGTCAACTTATTTGAGACTCACAGAAAATGACAGTTTTAAGTGTAGCAAGGTATTTATTTCAGTTTGATCGAATCACTTGCACTTGTTTATTTAACTTGTCACAGGTTGTTTCTGAAATCCTTGAGTGCTGTGTGTTCACAACAAAGCAGATTTTGTTCTCGCATGTGCTTCATGCGAATATTACTCTTGAGTTCACTCTCAGTGATGAGCGGTATTGATCATAAACTTGACTCTGGTTGCAATATTTATTATAATGGCGATGAAAGTATTTTTTTAAGTCGTGACGTTTCCAGTAAGGAAGTTTTACTCGTTTTCGTAACTCACATTTCACTCCATTAACTTTAAATGCTGTGATTTAACACCGTGATCTCATGTCTCGGGTTGCTTAAAATCAACCTTTTGACTTCCAAGTTAAGAATTTACTTGAATAATACGCTATGTGTATTAAGTAATGTGTATAATCCGAAGCTCAAACAGTTATTTCTCTAATCACGTAACCCATGAGAGGATTTAAAAAGCAAACACTAACAGCATCTGCTACACAGACTCATCCCTCATCTTGCTTCTTTGCCTTTCTTTTGTTTGCCTGAGATGCAAAGTAAAATTGTGACATTTTCCAATGAATAAGTTATCTCTAACCCGTCCGCTGTGTTCAGTTGGATTTATACATAGTTAGTGAACTCCTGTTATGAATGAAGAGACTCTTGAGGGCAATTGGCTGCACTGGATTTGTATGAATGGGCAAAACAGTAAAAGTAGGAAAATACCAGGGATTTATGTCTCACTTTTTAGATTTTTATTAGAAAAATTAAGATTATCCGCCTCCATTTTTCAGGATGTGTTGTGGTTAACTTTTCCACCTTTGCCTTTGTGTTGCCCTTTCATGATGTTCTCCGTGAACAGGGTGTCTAACGAGGCAAACAGTAACTGTTGGTGCTTGGTGTGAGGAATTTATCACTATTGATCCATTTCTGCACAATCAACTGCAAGCACAAACAAATTACTCCTGTTTTCATTCTGCTGTAGCTTTGAGCTCACCACTGGATAGTTTAATTTGTGAGGGGGAAAAAAGAGCGGATTAACTGCTGCGTGACTCTTGAGCCAGCAGAAGAAGTTTATTTAGTGAATGAGCCGAGCCGAAGGTCGAGGTTTGTTTTTATTGACGCTCTCTCCCGCGCTATCATGCGTTCTGCTGCCCTGGTAACTAACAGCCTCTTTCTGATCTGCATGGGTGCAGCCTCAACCTTTGACAGCAGAGTCATACTTGTTTTGCAGTTTTTCAGTCCATGAAAAGCAGATCATTACAGCCAGTACCTGTTACAACTCACTTTGACTGGGTTTTATATATATTTTTTGCACACTTCTTTTGTCCTTATGTAACTATGGCTCTTTGTTTCAAACTGAAATGGATTATTTGACTAATTTCCTCCCCTTTCCGTTTCATCCAGGATGCTCTTTCAGGAGAAAACAGCACTAGTGTTACCAAACCTGGTTGCACTGGTGAGAAGGAGAACTTGATGGACGTCAGGTTGACGCTGCTAAAGATGCAACGTGGGAAAAAGGAAAGGAGACAACGGGAATAAATCATGTTAAACCGTTTGTGTAAAAGAAGTAATGGGCCCAGCTGGAATCCCTCAAACACCTAATATCTTCTAATTGTTCTCTCTAAATAAACCTGGGATTCATAAGTTGAAATAATTTCACGTTTGTCATCCAGTTTACTGCTTTTCATCCTTTGACGGGTCTTGATCCCACTGTCAGCTTACATGATGAGAGATGCTGTTAATTTGTAGTTCTGGGTCTGAATTTATCGCTTTAAGCCACACATTCATGGGAAATTGATCTTAATGATACTGGGCTACCTAACAAAATGGATTCCCGCAGATCTTGTTCGAAAACACTAAAGCTGTTTTGAAGAAGTGGAGAGTCTGCAGATGACGCAACAGATTATCTTTGCTGCAGTTTTATGTAAAGGCCTCGAGAAATACCGGCATTAATATCTCAATGCTGCCATCACTCTTGAGGGGTTGATAATGGGGAAAGCCTTGCTTTGTGAAATGCAGCGCCCCGAGGTGATATGTTAAATAAAACCGAGGAATGTAGTTGTACTTTTGAGCCTTCAACTTCCTGTGGAAATTAAGGGAATTGAGTTCAGCAGGAATGTGAATATTTGAAGCACCTTTCTGTTAAGGTTTGGGGGGAATTATTCAATGATAAGTTCATTGTTGCCTATGCTTATTTGTTTGTGTTTTGTGGACACAACTTGTTAATAAAATCATGGGAAAGGTGACTGGTGTTCTTTATTGAGTGAATAACAGGATTTGTATCCAATACATTTGTCAACATCCTCTCATCTTTTGCCTGATTGCCCATCTAACAAATTGCTATAAAGTACATTTAATAGTCAGAAGGACTAGATAAGTACAGGTGCATCAGCTATTCAAAAAGCTAATTTATTTCAGTAATTCAATTAAAAAGAGGAAACTACAGTATGCAGATTTATTATACTTTGTGGCATTTCAAGCATGTCGTTATTTGTGGATTTTAACTCATATAAGATCAAAAATAAGGATTTTTAAACAGATTTTACCTCCACAATCACTGAAATGCTTTCTTTGTGGATACCCGTGAGACGCTGTGAGGTCTGAGCACACCGTCATCACATTACAGGAGGCCTGATCTGGTCTTCGCTGACACCAGGCGGCCTGCAGGCATGGCAGCGTCTCCTGGACATGGGAGAACAGCTGTGAAAGGAGAGGAAGCTGACCCCAGACAGTATCAGATGGAGAGTGCAGCTGAAGCAGCTGGCCCAACCTTCCTGAGAAGAGACTCAACATCTGTATCCAGCTGCCGGCGATAAAAGGCAGAGGGGACAAAATAATGAGATCTTCTCAAAGCACAGATTAAAAGAAGATGGTGATGGTGCTGAGTACATATGTCTGTCACCAGAGGGCGATAAACTGTAGCGATTGCATGAAGCGCAGAAGACAAATAGGCCAAATAAACATAGAATTGCTTTGGTTTGTTCTCATTAAGTTTGAAATGAATGTCCTTTTTTTTTTTGCATTATTGTTGAATAAAATATTTATTGATATTACAATTTAACCCTGAATGTAATTTTTTGTTGGTGACATTTATAAATGTTGTATTCTGTTTTCTGGTCGTTCAGCAGAGCAAGCTGGTGGTGATAATCTGAAGTCAAGTGTGCCAGGCTCTGTGTGCGTTGGAAGCCAAGGAGAAAATGGGATGAAAGGATCAATAGTGAAGGGCAGAGAAATCTGAAAAAGCAAGGATTGAGGTTTTTTTCTTTTCCAGTGCTGAGGCAAGCTGCACGCATTCTTCTCCTTGAATCAAATCTAGCAAAATGGAAAAGGTTAAAATTAAAATTTGTCATGAAAGAGAGCTATTGAGAGAGAAAAATCAAGAAGCAGAAACGACAAGGCCGTCCAAAATGCTGTAGAGCATAGGTTCTTTGAGTGCAGCTAGAATTGATCAAGGTTAGAGCTAAATAGCTCCCCTCCCACTGAGTCCAACTGGGCAAACTCCCACGCTGAGTGGGGGGTAAACCCTGTATAGAACCACAGTGGGCAGTGATTTCATCTGAGTGCACAGTTTGAGCCTCCTCTCACCGAGGACAGAGTCATTATACATTATAAATAACTGTGGTAAATGCTGGTGGGGAGAGTCTGCTTGACCCCCATCAGGTCTCCGTCAGATCACAGAAGAGACACCTGTCAGCTTTGACACTGGTCATATTTTTTTTAATCAAAATATTTAGGGAGTAATAATTGTGGTGGTGCAAATTTACAAAAATATTTAAAGTGTTTCTTCTAACATATTTTTTTACTCAAATTAAAGGCTGGAGTTTTCTACTTTTTAGTGTGATGGTGTAAATTTATTTGAAAGCTTTTTACGCATCCTCACAATATATTTGGAGGTTGCTGCAAAAATGATTTAGATGCTTGAAACAACACATTTTTGTAGTAGTGAAAACAAAATATTGGTGTTTAAAATTCAAATGAGCAGCTTAAATTTAATATAGAGTGAAAACACTTTTATTTACCACCTGATCTTTTTTTTTTGTTTTGTTCAAGAAAAGATGGATAATCAATTTGACTGTCTACCAAATATATTCTCGATTCATTCTAATTCTTTGCTTACATTTTTTAAAAACAGCATGAGATTTACAAAATGTATTTTCTTTCGATCATTCATAGCATCTACAAGGTGAAAAGATCCTTTTAACTGTAACTATAAAAAAGAAAATATAAATCTCCCACTGTCACACAGTCTTCAACATAGAGATTGAAGACAGTCAGAAAGAAAACAGATGGACAATTATAAAAAAGAGAAGACAAGCATGATGAAACATATGCGTAACAATAAGGCTGCGGAAGGTTCGACTTGTCACAGAGCCCTGGGAGGAGGAGTATGTTCTGCTGAATATAATCTTACAAAGTAGCTGTCCCTTTTGCGCCAACATCACACAGTTGATAAATTAATAAACATAAGCTTAACAAGTCACATACACGCACCCTTTTGGTGGACTGAGGGTCACTGTGATGGATGCTTTCCATGAACGGCAGTGAGCATTAAAAGTCAGGTGGCCCGGTGAACATAATCAGTCATGTCAGTTTGCCAGAGCCTGAAATTAATCATTCCTGCCTGTGGCCATTTCCTGCATTAATTATTCTGACTATGTGGATTAAATAGCATGGATGCTGTTAATGTCGCTGGACACAGAATAGCAGATGTAGCGCTTCACACCATGCGAACCTTTTCTAATTTTTAGGCAAAACTTCAGTTCTTCTCAGAATAAGCTTGCAATGTGCTCTGGACCAACATAAAGGAATGACTGGTAGTACGTTTTGAGGTGAGGCTGCGTGCACTGACAAGAAAAGCATAGTCAATGGATAGCTGGATTAACAATAAATAGTTTCCAAAACAACATTTTTTATGTGCTGACTTTTGTCTTAACAGGGCATTACTTTACTAATTTAAACTGTTTCATTGTAACTCAGACAGCATGTTTAGAGTCATTGTCCTGCTGGAAGCTGGACCTCCACCCCAGCTTCAAATGTTTTGTAACTCTTATTAGATTTCCTTTCAACATTACCCAGAGTTTAACTCCATGCAACATTCTATCAACTATCACCAGCATCCCTGTTAGTGCTGAAGAAAAGCATCTCAACAGCAAGACGCAGCCATCGCAGTACTTCAAAATAGGGATAGCATGCTCTAGGTACGGTTTATATACATCAAATATGTTATGTTCTGTAACACAGTTGTTACATCTGTGACTAAAAGCTAGAATTTGGTCTGACCTGGTTAGAGAACCCTCTTCCATAGGTGCGCTGTGACCCTACAGGGCTGGCGAAGAACAAGAAAAGGGACTTCTTTTGTTTCTTTCAGTTGATTTCTTCTTGAAAGTCTGTATTTATATCTACATTTGTGGAAAGCAAGGCGATTAGTATAACCAATAAATTCTTCCACCTGAGATATGAATCTCCCCTGGTCTCTCGGAGTTACTGCTGGCCTCTTGGCTGCTGCTTCTTCTAAGTACTGTCCTTGCTCAGTGGGTTCTGGTAGATGACTATATCTTTATAGTTTTACATCTGTGTCATACTCAGTTGTACATTTCCTCAGGAAATGTTCAAAGGTTTAGATATTATTTCTGATCATGCTGTAAATACTCTACAGCACTCTTCCTGACCTGTCTATTATGAGGATGTTTGTCCAGTAATGTTCTGTAATAAACCTCTGAGGCTTTCACTGAACAGAAGGCTTTTTATAGATTCATTTATTTCTGATTAAATTACACCTACCTCCCATTAGGTAGCTTATTCAAACAGTATGAGTTTGCACTACAAAATCACACTTGAATAAGAGAAAATTCAAGATTTTCTCATATTTTAACATTTGCAAGCCTCACTTTTCAGATGTTATTCAATTACTTTACAGTTACCTGCTGTTGATCTATTGTCATGGAAGAAATTCTGGATGAGAAGAAATAAGACATTTATTAAAACCTTGCAAGGTGAGAACAGAAATACAGAGCCAAAGGAGTGTGTCAAGTCTGCGCTGACAAACACTGGACATGGCTTCCTTCTATAAGTTCTGGTCAGAGAAGAGAGACTTGATTGGATCAAGTGAATCCCTGATTGTTAGCCCAACACAGATGGGCTAACATTTGTCATTTGTCTATTGTTAAGGAAATGGAGTTGTTCTTTAATGCTAAAGAGGGCAGATGAGTTCTAGGTTGGGGAAGTTACACTTAGATAGTCTCCAGGATCTGTTATATGACACTGCAGAGGTCTGGAGAGCAGCTTGACCAATCTCACAATAAGAGGAGGAGCACATTATAAAATTTTCCATTACACTATTACCAGAAAACATTCCTGATTGAGGTTGTGAAAAAGGAGTATGAATCCCTGTGCAAAGCATTGTGGTAAACCAAATGAGAAGGAGAAAGCTGATCAGACTGACTTGAATAAAAACAGCCTGTTCTTTCTCCTGACTCTCCTGACTCCTGACTCAGCGTTTGAGCATCTTATTAATTGCAGGCAAGCTTGTCCTGGTGATTTGGTTTTGGCAAAGAGGAACTTCTGAGATAAAAAAAAAGCCATATTTATCAGAAGTGTATAAAAATAGCTGTTTTGGACAGAAAGATAATCATAAAAATATATAGTCATCTTTATGAGAAGGTCACAGTGTTTCTTGGTTATCGAAGAGGACAGACATAACTTAATGATCGATCAGATCCAGACAGTTGAAATAGCGAGAGGTCAGGACAACCTCAGCCAAAACTGCATTACAGAATGTGGAGAAGAGATTGGGTGCTGTCATCCAGGACAAGTTTCCACCTGTTCTCACACACACACACACAAAAAAATTAAATCTGAAACCTGTTTCTTAAGTTGTGAATCAGATTTTGCAATGTGAATAAATGCAGACAGAATGACAACAAATAGCTTGTTCATTGCAGCAGACTTTATTGCACTGACACAAACTGTTTCCTCCGTTTCTTCATTTGTTTTCTATTTCACTAAAGCATCACCCACCCTCTTGCTCCAATAAAGTCCCATATCAGGTCAGGCAGGTCTGGGCTCTTTCCCTGAAGGCATACAGGTGGAAGGCATGGGACACAGACAAAAAAAATACACAACAGCAGGCAATTTACAGTCTCTGGTGCATCTGACCTACATTTCAGTGGAGAGCGAGGCACCACCACAGGAGAAGCAGCTCGTTATGCATGTGAACACCACAAAAACACCTTATCAGCCCAGCAGT